GATTCAATCGCAAACAAGTAGCACAGTATAAATTGTGATTCTGAAAATGGTATACGTAAACTCAACCTTCTAGCAACGCATTGAAGCAGTTAAAGTAGAATTAAAAGTTGTCTTATTTTTCTATAGTCAATAAATGATCCAAAAAACGAAAAATCCTATATCTCTTATCAATAACTAGGGTGTGAGTGTGGGTGAGTGAAGACGATGACCATTCGTCCATACTTGCACTGATACACTCACACGGATACACCCATAACCTCAAATAAATAAATTTATATCTTAATCTCGTGCTGATTAACGTTTTTGTTAAATACAGTTAGGGGGCAAGTGTCACTGTGGAGCAAAAATCCGGGGAGCATCTTGCCGGGATTCATCATATTTATCTTATTGTTCATTTCAAAAATTTTATCGCTGACATAAATACAAGCCAATATCTTTTATTATACTTTATAAATTATTCTGTGACATTACAGGAATATTACCTAGAAGAGAAAACGTATAAGAATAAAAGGAAATCTCTCTCTTTCTCTCTCTCGGGTATAGCTAGTATATGAAATAATTTCGAAAGGATCGAGCAAAATTCTTTGGACGTCATGACACAAATGAATTACAAAATAATTCAAAAATGTAACGCAGCCAGGGTCTGCCATAGATAATCGGGGCCTATCAGGGTCTAACAGGATCTACCACGATCTATCAGGGTCTACCAGGTGCTACCAGGGTCTACTAAGGTCCTAAAAATATGTGGGTTGTAATGTGCGTGTTCTCGCTGTGTACACCCTTCATCACACCCACACTATCATGTATGATGTGTGTGTGTGTGTGCTCTTGCTGTGTATACCCTACGTGACACCCACACCATGGTAGACCCCGATTCCCTATGGCAGACCCTGATTCTCTATGATAAACCCTGATTACCAATGGTAGACCCTGATTCTCCGTGGTAGTCCCCATAAGAGCTATACTGGTTATTGTTCAACACAGAATTACTTTGTAATTCATTTGCGTCACGTCATCCAGTGGCATCTTCATGTAGCACACTGGTAGAATAAAAGGGTATTTGAGCTATTTCAACTTCTGAAAAGAAATAAAATTTTGTAGAAAAAAGCCTGCCCAGGTCGCGAAATCCCACATCGAATCCGATAGGAACTTGATAGTATCCTACCATCCGACAGAATCTTATAAGATTCCGGGCCAAGGAATTGATGTCGGAACCACTGGTCGGAAGCATTGAGCTTTCAATGATATCCAACGGTGTTTCTTTGGAATTCATAGGCATCCGACGCTGAGGATCCAACTTCGAATCCGGAATCCGACGATAAATCTGTAGCGTCCGACAAAATTCGATAAGATCCTACTGGATGCGAGTCGGATCGGATGGGTTCCGATTGGTGCCTACTGTTGGATTGCTCGACCTGGGTGTTGCAATTTGAGCAAAGTGCATTATTTGATTGAAGATAAACCCTTCTTATTCAGATGACATAGAACTATTGTCACGATTTGATAATTCGACACTCGTTTACTTAACCATCTTTTTATTCATTATTCACCGTTTAGATAAATTTTTATTTTTTCAGATCAAAACGTAAATCAGAGTAACTGATGAAAAATTCTAATAATTCATATTCACATACAGTTATAATACCAATGAAAATATTCTCTACTATATTTATATGATTTCCAATTCTAATACCTTTCCCAGGTCGAACAGTACGGTCCGTATACGGTCGTTGACGGTTACTTTACGACTATTTTCCGGGCGAAAGTTTGCCGTAATATCTGGCGCAGTAATACGGATCGTATGATGATGAGAGTACGGAGCATAAACAGCCGTAAACCATGAAAATTCAGTCCCGTTTACAGTGCGGTATTACTGTGTCAGGTATTACGGGCAAATACGGCCTATTTACTGCTGTAAATATACCGTTTTGGCATTGTTAATCGTCGATAAACAGACCGTAAACCAGTCCGTTTAGATCAACCTGGGTTCCTCCGTATATGGGATTTTCGAAATATTATTGTTATTTATAAGATAATAGTATCAACCTATAGAATTATTTTTGTTATTAATCTATGTGACGTGTTTTACTACATTTATTAAACAAAAACAAATTGTTAATAAATTTTTTAATAGTTCACAATGGATTAAGATACAAAAAATAACATAAAAAATCGGAATAATGAACTAAATAACCATAATTATACTGAAGACATATTACATATGATTATCATACCAATACATATAAAGAAAATTTAATAGTTATTAAAGATATTTTAAAACCTTTGGCAGAACAAAATTAAATAGTAGGAAAAGCATCGAATTCTAATTATTATGTTCAAATATTAATAGAATATTATGATGAAAATGTCAATAATTTCTATAATCAAGTGATGAATACTTCATGTAAGTGTGATTCGATTTGGTCTAAAAATGATTTTTTTATACTTAAATTATTTATATAGAAAAAATAATTTAAACTATTTTAATCATATTATTTCTACGCTAGCTTCAAGATTTTTCAACCATATTGTATCTGTAAGCTTTTCGTTTACTGAGTTGGTTAAGACTCTTGCTCCCACTTATGTTGGGGCTAGAAAACGATAGTAATAAGTCCCGGTCTGCTACGGGAACGAGAAGTCTCACGTAAAATAAAATAAATAATCTTGCCAGATATTAATGTATCGATAAGATATGGTTAATATCGCTTCAACGATGTTCATTCAATATATATATCATCGGGATAGGGAGGGGGAAAACCAAAAAACGAAAGGGAAAAAACCAAAGATGAAAGATAATAAACAAAATCGAAGAAGAAAAGAAACGAGGAGTAAACCATGGAATGGTCAAGGAAGGACAACATATATTGATCATTTACGGAAAAGAGAGAGAAAAACGAATAGGGAAACAAGCGAAAAGTTAGCGGTGATAGAGTGTTCTCTATTGACGCTAACAGTATCTTAATAAAATTGAATCTCTACTTATAGCAACTAACTAACTGATACTTTAAAAATAATGAGTGATACATAACTTGAAAGTGGAAATGAAATACTTAATTTAATTTCTAAGAATTTTCTTTTTTACGGATGAAGCAAAAAATCTAAAACGTATTGTTTGTTTATGTTTTCGCTGATTATGTATGTCGTGTTAAACAATCAGTGCTTATTTATAATTTATTGAAAAATAACTACACCGATTTTTTTCATGCTACCATTGTAGACACCTTTTCTCAACATAGAAAAATGATATAAAAAAAATGGAGCAATATTTTTGTAGCTCACCGGGTGGCGCTTCGAAATGATGTATGAATGAAAGCTCTATCTATCAGCAACAAAAAAACTAGATAGATTTGCAAAATGAACTGGTACAAAGCAGTCATATTGAAAATATGTAACATCCGATAAAGCTCTAAATAACATATCTAGGCTCATTTTTCTACGAGGAATTAGAAAATCAAATTGGTGAGAACTAAAAGTGGAACAGGAGAAAAATAAACGTTGTTTCTCAAAAAGCAATTTTTTTGCTAATTTTTACACCCTCTCAGTTTTTTGCAGTTTTCTGCATGAAGATTTTCTCGAATCGAAAAAGTAAGTAGATATTCGTGGTCAGCTCAAAAACCTGAATCTATTGATATACATTTAAGCAAAAAATAAGAAGTGCTGTAATTTTGAATTACGCACACTTTACGAATTCCCATGTGTACCTTCATATGCAATATTTAAATTTAAAGTGAATGAACGCTTGTTTTTTATAGTATGATAACAAAACAAAATGAACATATACAATGATAGCAGATAATAATTAGTTTCCTTTTGACTTTAAGAATATGAGAGGTAGAAAACTCAACAAAACATGCCATCATTGAAAAAAGGTACAGAAGCCGCCGGTTATTTGTAATATTTCATCTGAATGAAAATTTCTTTAATATAAATTTATGTTACTAACAAAGTTGAAAATTCTAGAGTTTATTTTCTTTCACAACTTTCGTAATCAATAACTCTGTGATTAACGTAAAATACAAGGCAGCTTTCATTACTACTGTTCAATATTATTGATAATGTTCGATGGTTAAGACAATGAGAATCAAGTTTTATTTGACATGCAAACTTCAGGCATATGATAAACGTAACAGCAAACATATCATGAGAAAATGGCACATCTGTTGATACAGTATGTCATCAAATCGATGCATACTCCTCGATGGTTAAGCGGTATTTCATACTTAGACGACCTTATTCCATAAAGAGCCTTTAATTACGTCTAACGGTTTTATTAAAAACTTGATTTACAAAAAAAAAGAAAGTATTGAGTAAGATGAATTCAGATATGTAAATTAAAGAGTGTCCTTCACAAATACGCGATCCACACATAAACGAATTGATTTATTTTTCTTTTGTGTCATATATTATATGCGAACTAGGCGTTTTATAATTTGTTTCTTTTTTTCTATGATTGATTATTAATATTGTAATATTGTATAATAAATCAAAATTCGAGTTTCTCTATTTATTCATTAAGAGTAAGACGAAGAAAATTATACAACTACAAAATGAAACATGCATAAAAATCGACATTTTCTTGCTGCTCAAAAACCGAACAAATTTAGTTTTCATTAAAAAAAGGAAATGTTTTTTTTTTATTTCTTCTCATTGGATCAGATCAATCATCAGACGTTGATGTTTTTTTAACGGCTTGAATTTCATTTTCTTCGTCCGATAAACCATCAACGCTGGCTACCGATAAACGTAATCTCATGAGATTGCTTAATTTCGGTATGAATTCACGAGGAATAAGAAATGATGCAAGATTAAATAAATCAACAAATACTTTATAACGATCACTACAAATAAAAAATTTCAAAATAATCGATTCAACCATAAAATTCAATCAAACCTGCATGTCGATCGTAAATAACTGTAACCCGCTGAACCACCAGTACCTTGTTTATTGCCAATTTGTCGTTGAACAAGTATAACATGATTATCTGTAAAAAAATATTTTGTAAAATAATCTTTTAAGATCAAGAAATCTTACATCGCCATTTAGCAATAAGTGCGTCGATATCCATCAATAGTGATAAAATTTGATATGGACCCTAATTGAACAGATTTTTTTTAAAATTTCATTCGAAATAGAAAAAACAGAACAAACTTGAAAACGTGGTTGTTCTCGGTAGAGCATGATCATAAGTGCACCGTGCCAAGCTCGATGACTCATACGTCGATCACCTCGTGATAATAATTGTTGATGAAATTTTTCATCAATTAATGAGCGAAATGTATCAGCCGTTTTTTTCACATCTTCAAGAGCTGCATCTCGAGCCGTTGGATTTGGTTCACTCTTTCAGTAGATTATAGAGAATAAGAATAATAATAATAATTATTATATAACATGTAAGACAAAATGTTTTTATCTACTTCAGCATTGGTTTGAAGAAATTTAATGTATTGAGCAACAGCTCGTGCATATTCGTCACGAAAACTAAAATCAGAATCTTCAAGACCAGGTGTTCGTTCAAGCCATCTCTAAATGGAACAAAAGTACGAACGTTTTATTTTCGTCTTCATTTAAATAATTATTTTACTTCAATAAGAACGAGTAACGTTGGCTGTTCTAATGAATTTGTTAATGCACTTTGTTCCGTTTCAGTTGGAAAAGCATTTTTATACGACATTTGATTATAAACGACTCGTAAATTATCTGTTAAACCTAATTTATTTTCAACTAATCGAAACTGTAAACTTTGAAAACCACTAGCCGGTGATAAATATGAACGAAACTCCATAAAATCCAGTGGTGTCATTGTTTCTAAAATACTTATTTGATCACATAATAGATGCCAAATTTGAACACATCGTTGAAGACGATTTATTGACACGAACATATGAGTTTCATCAATAACACTGTTAATGAATATTTTACGGAGAGAATCGATTTCCCAAAGAATTTGTTTAAACCAAAGTTCAAAGCCTAATAGAAATATAGGTTGCTTTTATTTCGATCTTCAAAAACCAAAGTCTCCTATTACTTTGATGTATAATTATAAATAAATGTTCATCATGAACCATATTTTTATTCTGATCATGTTTTCCACTTAACAGCGTTTGAGCATCGAGAAGTTTATTTAATTGTAAATAATTACCATAGTTGACTAATTCATCGCTTGATGGTAAACGTTTCAATTCAGGTTTATTGCAACTGGATGAGCCATAACCAGTAAGAGACAGTATTTGAGAAAGTGCATCATTATTAGTTGAACCATTGATCGTTATTTTCTCAGTTGCCGTTGGCGTTTCATTGTCACGTTCGACAAATCGTGCATAAGGACAGGCCATTTCGCTTTTTTTTATTCAACGCGTCAATCAAAAAAAATTTTTTGATCTGAAGAAAATTCAAATAGCATAAAGGTTTTTACTCACGCATAAAATCTGATGCAATTACAGTTGAATATTCGAAAGAAAAGAAAATAAACATTCAACAGGACCGTGCTCAAGGATCCTGTATTAGTTAAGTAAACCATTACTTACCTCAATACGACGCACTCGTAAAACAAGACATCACGAAACGATATCAATAAAAGAAGGAAAAAATCTAGCCTTGAATATTTGAAGAACAGAATATAATATATAAATATATTGCTATACGTTCATGAAGGTATACTAGCTTAGAAAAAAATCTATTCTAAGCATGTTCTGATCAACCTTTCTTCGTTTCAATCTCCTTTTATAGCTGTTTTTGTAAAACTACGTATATCGATATTTATTTAATGCATATCCTTATATTTCTCAATGAATATTCGTATCTGCAATAATTTAACTTGTGTCATGAAGTGTGCTTTTTAATGCAAAATATGCATAAATGCACATATGCATAATCTGATAAGCTGCGACTATTCACGTGTGTTTAGCGCGCATGCATATCTACACGCATACGATGAAAATAGTATGTTTCATTTGGTATTCTGGCTTGATACCAATCCAGACACACCCTTTTTATTTTTCTTTGTGCTATCAATGAGAGAAAAGAGAGCATAGAATATTTCTCTCTCTCTCTTTCTCTCTCTCTCGTTGCAAGTATTTTATGAAATGGCTTTTTACGTCTGTAAATTAGTGCAGCTGTTGATATCAACATTGTTTTAATCGACTTTAAAGCATTACCAATAGTTAAATTTGATAAGAAGAAAACCATATCGAACATTTTATTTTATTTTTTTTATAAAAATTAGCCCAGTAGAAAACAAGAAGTCGATTGATCTTACATACATATATATATATGTATTTATAGAATTTAGCTTTATAATTTTAATCGTTAGATCAATTGAGTGCATACGATAAAAACAATAATGTTGTTTATTAGTTTGAATGATTCATAATAACCATCATTCTTATTTGTAAAATATGAGAACAAGAAAACATATATTTAGATATAACCAAAATAACAATTAAAATGTATAACACGAAAAATAAGCGTTTGTTATCAAACAACAATAAAAGAAAATTTATTCAATTGAAGAAAACTTTCATTTTCTATCGATCGATTCCCATCCAGCATCATCATCGTCAACCCATTGGTCCTCATCAAAATTGATAAGATTTGATCCTTTTTCTTCTTTTTCTTTAGGTTTTACTGAAACTGACGTATCCGAGTTTTTCGATGAAGGTCGAGCATCAACATTTTTGATTTCATCATCAAACCATGATTCGAAATTTTGTTCACGATCATTCCGTGGACGACTATTATTTGATTTTGACTGTTCGTGCGAATGACTTGGTAGACTAGTAGAAGTGGTTTCATAATCAAAATTATTATCAAATTTTACTGTTGATGCTTGTTGATAAGAAGACCACTCAGTCTAAAAGTGAAAAAACAACAACAGATGAATTCTAAATTGTGATTAGCATCTTACATCATCCGTATGATTTTGATGATTTGTTGAATGATAATCTTTTCCTGACCATAACGATTGCATATCTGACCATGTTTTTGTGCCTAATTTACCCATTGTTGATGCCATATTCGTTACACCCGACTGAACATTAGTTAATAACACTCCGTCTTTGGTCTGTTCGCTCACTTTTGTTTTTAATTCAGTTGCTTTTTCAGCTGCTGTTTTAGAAAATTTAAATAACGATTCTTTAGCAACGCCTGCCCATTTAGCGGCATTGACACTCATATTCGAAATAGATGATGCTAATAAATCCGGATTTGATGATTGACTTTGAGATGATGCCATATTATTTGTATTTCCAAAACCCCAATATTTTGGATTGCCACTGCCAAGGCCAGAAGGGTAGTCTTGTCCGCTAGAACTGTTATTTTCTTCACTTCGATTATCTGATGATGCAAATTCTGTCCAATCGGATGAAGTTTGCTAAAACAAATAAAATTTCTTTTTAAATATTTTCAAGCAAAATTTCTTTACTTTTGATGTTTTGTCAGTGTAGGTCTTTGCAGTTGAAGATTCAATGGACCATGGTCTACCGTGAGCTTCAGTATTGATTTTATCTCGATAAAGTGCAGCAGCACGTGTATTGTATCGTTGTTGTAAGGTCATTGAATTTGTATTATAATCTGTCTGAGTAAAGAAAAATTCTTTTGCAGGACGATTTCCACCGACTTTCATTTTTTCTAATTCGATCTCTTTCCATTTGTCCATACTTATTGATCGAACGAATGATAAATGAACACCTAAGCCACGATGTTTACCCGAACATTCAAGACAGATAAATATACCTATGATGAAGATAATGCGAAAAACTGTTTGTAAAAACGTTTTTTAAGTATTTTTGTTCAAAATTCAAATAGGAAAATAATTAGTCTTGCAGCAAGGCTTCGAAATACAAGAAAGATTATTTCACAGAATATGACCCGCGAAGCGCTGTAAAGGTTCAAGTCACGAAAAAAAAAATGTTTCGCTTATTTTGAGTTGAAGTCTCATAGGTTTAGAATTTTAGGTTTTAATTGTTTCGTACCATATGTAACAGATACCCATTGTGGATTTAATGCGCCGCATTCAAAACAGACATTATTGTTATCTTTTAATTTAAGATCTTTAAGCACCGATCGAGTACGTGGACTGGCCATAACAAATATGTATCTAGAACAATTATATCTAGTTAATACGCTTATGTATTTAATCCTTTTTCTTCTCTAGAATATTCAGAGAATTGAGAGACAACAATAGAAAAAAAGAAATTTACATGACACAAAAAAAAACAGAGAAAACAATACATATATTAATCATTTATGGGTTCTTTTACATCCGATGACATTTCGGTTTGATTTGATAACTTTTTACTGCTACTAGATTTGTCTTTTGAACGTCGACGATGACTACGTTCATCGCCACTATCACGCCGTGAACGTTTCGAAGATTTCTTATGATGACCATGACGTGAAGAAGAACGTTCGGGATCATCACGACGCGATCGACTAGTTGGCGATGATGATGATACTGGTGCAGTAATATTTGTTATTGGCGTCTGCTCGTTTTCTATTACTTCTGGATTTTCAGTTGATGTTTGAATAGGGTCTGTCGAAGAAACTTGACTGTTACTAGTAGCAAGAGTTTTCGGTGGTGAAGAAAAATTTTTTGGTGGTGTACGACGAGCTGAACGATGACCCCGAGATAAATCATCTTCACCACGATGATGACGTCCACTATCGTCTCGATGATGTCGTCTACAGCGAAACAAAAAAAAAGAATAAAACGATGCAATGGGGAAAATATCGAAAAAATTACTTTCGTGAATAACGTTCATATTTATCATCACGATCACGAGATGATTTTCGATCACTTCTTGGTCTTTCATATTCATGATCACCACTACGATGACGTGAACGATACGATGATAATGAACGATCTTTTGGTGATGAACGACGCCGTGAAGATAAATGATGTTCGCGATCATCTCTTTGAAACGAAAATTCGATGTTTTCTTTCTATCAAAATAATCTGTTCTTTTTTCTATATCAAAATACCTATATCGATCTTTATATCGATCATCTTTAGAGGATTTGTCATTATCACCAGCATTACCACTAGGCCGATTTTCTTCTGGTGTTGAACTACGTGGTGAATGATCTTCAGGTGTTGGACTTCGACTAGACGGGGGTCGACCATTTCCAGTATTTCCTTGTATAGATGGTTGAGGAGGAAATTGTCCCGGTGGAAAACCATGCACAGGAGGCATACCGCCCCTATTAATAAAAAAATGCAATTCTATAGAACTGATTCCAACGAAGAAAAAAAAAGAACTTACTTATCCCATGGTTGTTGTGGATGATGATGTAGAAAATACGGCTGTGGAGGTCTAAATAAGATTTCTTTTGCAATCGAAAATGAATGGAGAAGAAAAGTGATTACCGTTCCCCATGCATTGCTCCGCCAGGTCCATGAGGAAAAAATGGAGGTGCGCCAGGGCCATGTGGATGACCAAATGGAGGTCGAAATTGCATACCGGGTGGTGGAGGCATCATAGGTATTCGATGTGCACCAAGTGTTGGGATGGGATGGCTACCACCAGGTGGTGTTCCATGTTGTTGCGGAGGGCCATTGGATGTTGGGGGTGGTGTGCCGAGATCACCAACTGTTTGACCATTTGGGGGTTGACCACCAGAACTAAAGAGAAATTATATTTATTCGTCTGACTCATGATTAGAAATCGGTACAAACAAAACTAATTCAATATAGATCTCTGCTTATGATAGGTACTACTATTTAAAATCATCAATATCAACGATACAAAAAATGTTCACTTTACCTGAAGTCCTCTAACAATATGTGGAACTTTTGATACCACTGTTTCTGATATACATAAAAGGGAGATATCAATAGATTTATATCAAATATTATCATTACATGAGGATCTTTGTCTCTTTATACAGATCATTGCATTCATAATGAAATTTTTGTACAACAACTTCTAGAAAATGGTTTAGTTTTACTAATTGCTTTTTTTAATAATTTACGTATATTTATATACTATTCGCTAGATTTCAAGATTGACTTAGTTGTAAATTTCTTTGCTTTTAATTTAAAACTTGAAACTAATAAATACTCATTGAAGCAGTTTTTTATTTTTTCCAAACGAGTTAGAACTCCTTTTTCTGGATTAATGAGAACAACTTCTATACGTATCTATCTTTTTTTGCAGTTACAAGCAGCCGTAAGTGATTATATTTTGCTTTAGAAGTTGAAATGAGAGTCAACTTTCTAACACACACATTTTTTATAATATATATATCTGAACTATGACAAACATAATACATTATGGTAAAACTAAGCAAAGCTGCTGCAGTATTGATAAAGCTCAAACGAATAGAAGAGTCCGTGTGCCGTAGGAAAGGCAACAGTAAAGTCTAACAGAAGTCTTCTGGAAGAAACAAAAAGTCCTATTACAAGAAATATGAATGACGAAAAAATAAGAGAAAAGTAGAATACAATTGTATAATGCCAAGGTATCTTTGGCAGCTCTCGTAAACATCTCGATAGAAAATTGTTTCTCACAATTTGTTTTGGTTAAGATAAAAATTTAGATACATACAACGGAGGCCCATTCATAAATGGCGGATGTTCAAAATTATTTGGTCCGTCAAACATAGGTCGACGAGATGTTTGATCAGTGGCACCTTCGAATAGAAAAATGTTTAATCTTAGTTAGTGAATGACAATTTAGATTCCATCATACCAATAACATCAATTTTTCCATCTTGTTTTCGTACATTCATAAATGGTCGTTGCATGATTGGCATATTTATTGGTGGTTTATTCATAATCATAGCTGGATGAGGATTCATCGGATGTACCATTGGAGGATGAACAGGAAGCATTTGGGGCATTTGGGGAATCTAAACAAGAATTTCAATGCATTAAAAAGAAAATGAAAAAAGAATTTGTTTTTTACATGAGCAGCATTGAGACGAGCTAAATTATTTTCTGAACGTAGACGACGTTGTCGATCACAATATTGTGCCCATGTTTCTTCAGTGAAACCATAATTAAAATAATCACTGATATCCGCTCCTGAAAATTGAAAGCGTTTAATTAAATCTGATGCTCAACATTCTTTTATCATACCTGGCTTTTTCCATGGTTTTTCTTCGTCTTTATATGCATTCATTAAATCATGTTCATATGTTGGCTGTCCATTAATTATGCCTTGAGCATCTAGATCAAGATTCCGTGTCGTCTGTGATTTTGGTGGGATAACTGGACCTGCTACAATTCGTGAAAATTAAAAAGATTTATTAAACATTCCAAGAAGAATATTTATTTACTTGGTATTGACGTTCGACTATTTTGTCGAGCTGGTGGAAAAATTGGTGCTCCTGCTTTAATATTACGAATAGTAACTTGAATTCCATCATCGTCATCGTCAGAATCATCATCTAATTGACTACCGAGCAGCGATGATGTTGTTACATTCATTGCCGATGGTATAATTGCTTTTTCCTTAAGATAGAAAGTTTTCAGTTTTTGTAAAATGTTAAAGAATATGTTCAACTAGAACAAGTTCGGCGTACTTTCTAATAGATGAATTGTCATAAAAGAAATTTTTTTCTGAATAAACTGGCTACACAACAAATTCATCGTAATCTATCTCAAAAGTCAATGAGTACGTTGTTTGTCAAAATCCTACACAATGAAAATAATATGATGTAGTCGCTGGTGAATATTCGTATAGTATAGGCATGAAAAAAATGAACATCTGGTGCAAGAAAACCATGCGCTATGAACAAATATTGAGAACAGAATATGTGAAAAGAGCTAGACCGAAATATCGGTAGTTAAGATCACATTCTAAATCGAATGTTTTTCGTTTGAAAAAAGTTCACCAAGGGACTTCTCTGATTAAAACGTAGTCTATAAGAAACTTGCTCTATTCTACAACGTTCTCTTGTTAAGTCAGTACGGCTAATCATGAAGAAATTCTGTCAATGCTTTTTATTGAAGAATACAAATATCCGCTAAAATTTTTACTTAACCATATTATTCATTTATATAAGCTCTGAAGTCCTATTGTTTTTAAATTCTAGTTTCTGCTCATATCGAATACTAGATCTAGTTTCAATACTGATGGAATTGCATGTTGAAATAATTTGAAAAATTTTCAACAGTTTAAATTAATCTTCAATTGCGTCTATGATGATCTAAAGCCTGTTTTAGATGATTTTCGAAATTGAAAACTTTCTACATACCCTTGCATCGATCTCCTGTGTTGTTACTTCATCAATTGATGGTGCTGTTGTATTATCACTAAAAGAAAGCAAACAAAGGAGAATAAAATGGCATCAATGTGTAAAACTTACACATTTTCTTCCACCTTTTGTTTTCCGTATAACCATGTTTCTTCATTCTCATTATTAACACCGGATTCTCTGACTGACGAATTTGTGTCTGTTGTCATTAAACCATTTAATGATGAATTTTCATCAAGAATCGTTTCCGACATGGTAAAATCTGAAAAGTAATTTCTTTTTCTGAATAATATTTTTGTTCCTCAGTTTACATCTGTTGATGTTAGACAAAAAGAACTCAACCAATCACATCGAATCCTTTATATGCTAAATATGCGAACAAGAAAAAAAGAGCATGACCTCTATCGTCATTTCATACTATTGATTCGTCACATGTACAGTAACTCCTCATTCTTGATTAATGTGTAAGCTGCCACATTGAACAATTAATAGAGTAACGAGAATGTCTTCAACTTATATGGTATTTCGTTGTGCATTTACAATAATTAATATGTGTTTCTTTGTAAGTTTAAAATTGATGCGCATACTTCAATGAAGAAAGAATTTTTAGGCTTTGGGCTTTGCTGTTGTCGTTTGTAGTTGGTGGTTACATATAAAGTCAGTTGATTATCGACCATTAATGAAAAATCAATGGTTCACTGCACCTGCAATATTGATCATATCAGGTTAGCACCTGACAGATTTTGAATTTTAAGATGTTTTGGTTTGTTTTTCTTCAGCGAAACTTTCGATGTTACTTGGTGCTGCCGGATGTATTGGTGCATGGTTTGAAAAGAAAATATTATTATTTATTGTAAATTGAAATCATTGATTTTATTTGTCATTTTTTTAATCATTCATTTTTTTAAGTACATCATAACAATGATTACTATTTTCGTTGCATTACTACTTGGCGTTGTATTTGTTATTGCTTTTAATGAACGGGTAAAATTATTCGGACTTTTTTTTTTTTACTGAATGAAAATTATAAGAAGAAATTCTTTTGATTTAAGGTGGCAAAGACAGCTCGAAACGAATTACTTGAAAATATTCGTCGATACCCAGGAGAGGAAGGTGCTGATGACTATAATTTTCGAAAAACAATGAATTCAATTCAAAAACGAGTAGGCGCTTTTGAATTTTTTTGTTTGGACTTGAGAAAACTTTTGTTTTCGTTAGTTTCACTGTTGTGGTATCGATCAATATCACGATTGGTTTAATGCTGATGTGTGGACAGGTCAAACCTATGTACCTGATTCATGTTGTATTGAGGAAACAAGTGGCTGCGGCAAACAAATTGCTGCTAATGAGACATATGGTTTAATTTATACAGATGTAAGTTGAATAATAGGAGTATTTGCTCTTTTTTTCTCCAACTGTTTTCAATCTAGGGATGTTTTAATATGATTCAAATGGAGATTAATCAAAGTTTAATGATTGTCGGCATTTTAGCCTTTGTTCTTGTCTTCGTTGAAGTAAGTAGATTCATAATAAGAAAATGAATATCCGTTTTTCAGCTTTCGGTACATTAAGTTTGAATGAGATTTATATAGAACGATAAGTCTCATGCATAAATGCATATAATATAGATTGTGTAAGAATATTGTTTAGCAAAAGTGTTGAGCTAGTTTGGAAGCTAACTATACTACTAATGCTAATGGCTTATCCGTTTGATGGAAACGATTTATACTCAGCTGCAATTGCGTCGTATTTTACAATGATTTTTCGCGTTAACAGCCACGCGAAGGATCAAATATAGGAGAGTAGATTCTGATTCGTGTATTCTGTGCATCCATAACTGAAATTATTTTTGGTAATGTTTTATCACTTTATTGAATGAGGACATTCAACAAATATTTTCAAGGATTTGCCTTGATAATATTTCGCTAGGGTTTTTTATTAAAAGTTTTTTTGACAATCATATATTTTGTTACGTTTGGCATGTCTTTTATGACAGTAGACAAACAACTCATTAATTTGATTAATGAACATCTACGTGCCAGATTGTTTACCACCTAGATCAAGTGAATTAAGAGTATGCAAATTTTATGCGTGGTTCAAATGTCCTACATAGAGACATTTTGACATCAGTTTAAGCTCAAATTAAACTTAATTGGAATCGACATGACTTCAAAAGTGAATCATACATCAACTGTCTGTACTAAACACTTTTCATTAGTCTCAATTGGAAGAGTTTATTTTTGTTGCGTAACTTAATCATTTTTTTAGGGTTTTTGTATTGTTGCTGCTCTTGGCCTCCTTTGTTATCTTCGTCAACGTGATCGCTACATTTAATACATCTAATTTTAACTTATAGAATGCTGTTTTCGTTCAGATAATTTTTTTTGTTTTGTTCTGATGAGCTCAATGTCATAAATAATGCAATGCGTTTTTTTTTAATTGGTAGTTTTATTAATATTTCTATCTGTTTAACAGTGTGCGTGTGTGTGTGTGTGCTTCTTTTTTACTTGTATAAACTTGTACTTTGAATGACGATCATGTTAGTTTTGCTTTTTTTTTGTTTAAAAGATTTCGATTTGAATAAAATTCAATTTATTTATAAAAAAAATAACATAAAGGTCACTTTTCGTTGAAAATAGATGTAGATTTGCTCATAATATAAGAACTTCGTTCTTATATATATTTATTCTTTTTTTCACGTTCTGAAATAACAACAAGAACAAATTACTAAAACAATTCCTAACGATAGAATTGTATACAATCACAGATAACCATGTATTACCCCTAGGGTATCCACTTTTATATAACTAAATGTTATAAGTTGAGGAATTTGAGTTGTTTTGGAGTATTACCCTAAAGCGTAACAACTTCGACATCCTGGAAGAAATACACTAAAACAACTCAAATTCACATAAGATGCTCAATTAGAATTCGAATATAATTGATCCATGTATTGACCAATAGCACTTCGGAAAAGCTTAAGGTACACATAATGGCTACAGGAAAAAGGAAATAATATAATTTTATCTGAATTTTATTTTATATAATTTGAATTTAGACATACATATTACTAAGGTTGAAATCAGGGCTACCAGCCGTATCCCATTTGAGCCTTTTGTACCTCAAAAACAATTGTACCTCTGAGGTACGCATTTTGCACCCCATCTGCATTTTTCAATGTTACGGCTACTATCATCCATATTGTGGTTGAAATGCACAAAATTATTTCTTATGTATACTCAAATCCTTGCTCGAATGCATTTGTCGAAGGCGTTTTTAGTTATATGAAAAGCGCATGGACAGCCAGTCGCAATTCGATGGTGAATGAAACGATAGCTGCTGAATTGAAAATCAGATTGAATATTACTATGGCATGTGAAGAGTTTTTTTCGTTTGCTCAAACACAACCGCCACTAATAAAGTGTGCCAAAAGTCAACGCAAATACAGTTTCGGAAAAAAGCGTGCAACAGTTAGTGTAATAATAAATCGAGAAGGTTCGCTTTGAGTAAGCATTGTTTTATTATGATTGAATTGAATATATGCATGTCAAAATGAAATTTTATTGTGAATATATTTATTAGAAAATAAAAGTTTCAATTTGAAAGCTAATCTTTATAGTAAAAAGAAAAAATGAGAATGCCCTTTCAAGATTGAAAGTAGTTGTCGAAACTGATTTCCGTTGGTGATGAGCAGCGTGAAAGATGTAAACTGAGTACCCCACGAATGTACCCCATTTGGGACCTGAACACCTGGCAGTCTTGGCTGAAATACATAGCATAAACTTTGATTCCTAGGAGCATACCGTGAATTTCCGACAATGCGTAACATTCGTAGGCGGAAGCCTGTCGTTGCAGAAAGAAACCGGACGTTACTACACGAATGTGTGAGGCTTCTGGAAGAATGCGTGAAATTGTTGAAACCATGGATCAGGTTGCTAATATTATTCCTCGACTTCCGAGAATCGTGCCTGACGTTACTGACAGTACGATTTGAGTCCTGCGAGGCACACCACAGGTACCGGAGCACATATCAGAGCTGCTGGATACATTATAGAGATTACTGCAACTGCGCCTCAACTTGTTACAATTATTACAACCGACTTTCCGACAAAGTAGCGCATACATCTGGGAGGCACCCAAATTCTTGCAACAAGCCTAGAAATGCTTCTAGCAGCCTCAAGGCCATCAATGGATTCTTCGAAAATCTCGTTTATATTCTATGTGGAATTAGGCAGCTGCTCCAGATTCCTCAACTTAAAACATATAGTTATATAAATATGGATACCTTAGGGGTAATACCCCAAAAAAATTCGATGGGTATTAGGACTTCGAAATCACGAGACCCAGTGTAACGGTATTATGTATGACATCTATGCCGAAATCGGGAGTAATTAGTTTTTTTCTCAATTGTCGCTATCTTTTAAAGTACTTTTATCTAGACTCATTACTAAAATAAGTACTCAGAAGGGTTTGCATATATTACTTGTGCTCACTACTTAAAATGTATGCTTGAGAAGAGACTGAGAGGCTTAACTCAATTGAAGGCTATATTATCAGAGAAAGGATTTGTGAACTTGCGTATGATTTTCATCGGACTGATAAATTATATATTAATACTTTCAAATGTTCACGTAGAATGCATTTGTTCACATACTAGGCTATAATTTTGGACTCGGTAAACGGAAGCAAACTCGAATGAAGATAACGTTGCTCATTAAACTTAATTGATCAAGATCCGTCAAAGAAAACTTTGCGTGCCGGAAATTTGCACAGATTGTCAAATATACATTGTGAACAATGTAAATTCAATTACTTCCAAACGACTACTACTTATTTAGTTAATATTCAAGATAATTCAATAAGTTCCACATCGTCGAATTCAGCAAAAGTTCTACCTTCGACATACTTCAACTAAATACAAGCTTATCGTCTCTAACTTTTTCACCAGTGTCTTCCTATTTTATCATGAGGCTTGAGAAAAAAGAACAAACTGTCTACTGTCAAAGCATGTTAAAGCTATATCGTTCAGACATTTTTCGATCGCTTCAAGCTTATTATAAATGTTCATCATGAATGTACTTTTTTTATGTCAGTCTAACTTTCTATGCTCAGCATATCCAAATATTTCATCACATACAATACTGATATTTGAATCTTAAACTACAATTGGCTATTTAGATTTGTTCGTCAAATATATGTGACAACTGTAACATACATAAAATGACCTCAAAACTTTTACTTTCGTGCTTTACGTTGATCAGATGTTGTTAGCGCTCACGAAGAGCGACGAACACAGTTAACGAATGTGTTATATTCTCTCTGTTTATTCTGTTAGAAAACAAACGTTTATATACGCACACGAAAGCAGAGACAAGAAAATAGAGGAAAACGGAGAGAGAGAAAGGAAAAGGAAAGAAAAGAGAATAGATAGAATCGAGATATACGTTACAGTAGAACGCACTGTAACAGATGTATGAAGTAACAAAGAAAGTCTCGAAAGAAAATTTGACATATTTTTAGTCTTAACATAAGTCAAAGTACACTTAAGCTTAAACTAGCTGATTATTATAAAAGTCATAATATTAATATTTGTAGTATTTCTTCCAGACACAATCTCTTAACATCATAGTACTTTTAAATCATATTCCTATTTAACAAATCACCTGAAACTATATCATAGAACGGTACATTCAAGATCAGTTTGTAAAAGTCATATTAAAAGTTATTTTTGCTTTTGAGTTAATCGTTAGTCAAAAGGTAACTTGTTAGTAAAGTATTTAGTAGAAAAATTAAAGAATTATTTTGATTAATTTTTCTCGCATAGCTACAACTGGGTCAGCATGACACTCGAAGAATCCGTTTCGAGAACAAATCTGAATGAGGACCAAATTCCTGGTTGTATTGGAATCTTATTTCTCATTGTTTGTATCGAGCATTATATCACATGAATCTTTGTTTTTGTTTGGTTTTAGTTGTAAATCTTCAGTTGAAAGAAAAAGAATGATTCGAATTTCTAAATATATAATTGATAAACTGATAAATCATAGTACCGAGAAAGGTAAAAACTATGATCTACTTATTGGATTTATCTTTCAACATGAACTAGGTATGAGTAATCCTAGAAGTTTCTATTATTATTCGTTTAACATAATTTGAGGAATCTACTTTTGTTTTAGAATAAGCCAAGACCCATGCTGTCAATATTTCTTTTTTCTTTTAATAAAGTCATATTATTAAGATACATATTCTTCCCCTTACTGTTTTTTTTAAAGTCAAAAGCTCTTCTAACTATCTAATTCATGTGCATCATTCGTCGTATTCTCTTGCTCAATCTTCATGTTTAATTATTTTCCTTGAGAGTGTTAATATATTGTCGTTTTTAATTATTTTTGTTTTTGAGTATCATTTCCGCTAGTCGAATTTTTCTTTCTCACATCGGAAACAAACTAAGAGAGGCTGGAAGCACCAAATTCATATGCTATTTTTAACATGAAACATCTCTATGCTAACATTTAATTAGACTGGGTTATTAGTATCTGTTTCGTGCAAATGTTCGACAAGACTTACCACACAAATTTTTTACGGAAGTAACTAATGATCTGCGCTGAGTTCCGGTAGATTTTTAGTCAAAATATAACGTCGAACAAAGTTCAGTATAATGATAGTCCTTTTTACAATCACAAACAGTATTTATTTCATAGGTTTTCAGCTGAAGAGCTCGTCTTATGAAATAGTAATAGAAGAAAACCTACAATGATCGAATGAGAAAAGACCTTCGACTTTTTTCTTAGAAGAAAAGAACATACGAAAACGCTAAGCAAAGATTTCTATAGGATTATTATTCAAACCAAGCGTCAATAACAAAAAGGTATATTGTTAGTTACTATGAGCTAATTTGTTTTTTGTCTGTCGTTCTTTTAATTTTATCTTTTTATGTCATAAGATTCATGTCAGGCGAACTTTGGGTAAAATTTTTAATTTTCGTCTTTTATACCTCATCTGATAGAAAATTTTACGGCGATCACGAATATATGTTTTCTAAGTTACATCGATGCTTTCTTCAGTTCGAAAAATCGAAAAAACTGCAGGCTTTCAAAAACCTTGGTTTTTGCATGGTTTTCATAAAATTGAATTTCTAGACTTCTGAATCTACTTAGATACTCGAGAAGGATATATTCTCGTTTCGCTTGAAAAACTGAATCAGAAAATATCTTAAAAATTGTTTTTGACCTAAATCGTTGCCCGCCAAGGTCTTTAGAAGGGCGGCTTGTAAAAACTTTTCAAAACTCTTTCCTGCGGTGCTAGAATCGATTTCTTTGCATACTTCGATTCGTCAGATGATCCTCCTCAAAAGCATAGAAGTAATTAATTTTTCGAAATTGTTTTTCCTCGTGGAAAAAATCGGATTTACCTAGGACTACTCGCGGAAATCTAAAAATCCGTTTTCAGGTTTTCTGCAAGTTTTGCCAATAATATAATCAAGCCAACACCCAGTAGGTTAAAAAACGATGGGAAATTCGATGGAGACACTACCGAAATCTTCAGGTGGTTTCTAGAGGGTTTTCGGATGTCCACAAGGGAGAAAAGACTCATGTATGTGATTTTTGATTTAAAGACTATCAGTGTTACGAAAATTAGAATTTTTTTTATCTTCTTCTGTGTATGAATGCTGCTGGGTGTGGATGCAACAGTGAATTCCAGCAATATACACACCCACACCTACCTGGAATCATCGATCTAGACTTGCGCAAACTTTACTTTAAAAATATTTTACCGTTTGACATTGCATTTAATTACCGTGTAACGTCAGACAGAACCTATAATGGAAGGACCCACTAAAAAGAGACAGCTTTGCTGACATGAAAGAATTAAACAAAAAAATATATTATCGTGCAGACATAAAATATTTCTACACAATCTTTTGACGATGGCATATCTTCATGTGAAATAGGCGACTTTAGATTAGCAAAATGTTTTCCAACATTTACGAACTTTATAGAATATTAAAATTTTAAAAAAAAGCAGCTTTTATGATAGCAGTTCAGGGTTAGCAAAACTGTGGGCTGCGCAAATCCCTCGATATTTAAGAAAATTAGTTCTTCTTTTACGTCATCAAAATCTCGCGTCCTATTTTTTTTGCGTAATTTTCTGATTTCTACATAGTTTATTATTGTATTTGAGTTGCACTGTTTTTTTCAATATGAACGAAAAGAGTAGTAGAGATAGTTTATATTACTTCTCGTTCACAAGCACACTTCCGCGTACAAGATAACTTAGTATGTAGCTACACTATATATGTGGGAAAATTCCTCTTACAACCCTCAAAAAACATTCCATAGCCGAGTCAGTTATGTAACAGATAAAATAATACAAAGCCGAGCAAAGCTTAAATTCTACTATTGAGTAATAGAATTAGATTGAGGGATGACATTCCAGACATTTTTTTTTATAAAAGTTTATTAGAATCGAAAAGTCCCCGATTATTTATTTAAAAAAAAAGAAGTATTTTTAATACTTGTAAATCTTCATAATTATATCTCTTGAATTGTAATATGCTAGTTTTTTCAGTCTTTAGAACAAAAATAATATAATTCTAAACATTATGCTCAATAATCTTTCACCAAAAACGAACTTATCTACATCTGTTAACATTGATATTCCACCTTTAACACAGCTTGAACCATGTCGTGCACTTCGAATTATTGGCTTTTATTTTGTTATTATTTTCGTAGCAGGTACACTTTTAAATGGTTCTCTGCTTTTTACATTAGCACGAAACCGACGATTACGTCGACTATCTACAAATATACTTATTGGTGGTTTATTATTTGCGGATTTCATCGGATCATGTCTTGAAGTGCCACTTCCAGCTTTGTCATTGATTCGTTGCAGGTTAGAATGTTCATTAAGTGACAAACAAAACAAAACAAAAATAAAAATTCATTTTTCTAGATGGATTTTTAATAAGATTACTTGTACATTTGAAGGTTTCATTAGCTATTTTATCGGCTGTTCGAATATTTACATTCTTTGTTTGATTTCAATCGATAGGTAAAATAAGAATAATTGCAAAAACAAACTAACGGAACTAATTTTTCTTCTTCATTAGATATAATATCGTAACTAGGCCCGTTAATCAATCTATGAAAATGAATTATCGAGCTTATCTATCTATTGGTTGTGCATATATGTTATCATTATTTTGGACATCAATGCCACTATTTGGATGGTCCTTCTATGATTATGAGGTTTGATTGGAGTGCTATTTTTAAAATTGATGAATTTATCATTGAATTACATATAGGGTATCGGAGTATCGTGTAGTATCAAATGGACAGAAAGATCCGTTAATGTAATCAGTTATAATATCAGTATTCTTATCTTCGTTTATTTTGCACCTGTGATAATTATACTAGTAGCAAATTTGAAAATATATCAATTAGTAAGCATCGTTCTGTGTGCGTGAGAAAAAAAGGAAACATATTTCTTATTAAGATTCGAATTCGTCGACAACCTAATACAGCGAATCTTCATCAATCTTTTATTCGCCGTCGACATGCCATCGAACGTCGTATTCTGACAACACTCACTCTTGTCATAGGTAATAATATTTTGTTTTTTGTATCACACCATAAAGCACGATAGAATTGAATATTTCTTTCCGATTGAGATCGAAATCGACAAAAGAAAACCCGCTACCCTTTCAAATGAGCGAAGTTCTTTTAGATTATTTTACTTCGCAGCTTGGCAGACACGTTAATGGTCGAGTTATAGATTTTTAAACAATTTAATATTGTAAATAGGAAACTGTAAATTAGCCGCGATGGGACTAAAATCGGGATCAAGGCTTATAAATATGCTAAACTGATTCTTAAATTTATGATTTTGATTGCATTACAGGTCTGTGTAATTGCTTTAGTTGATCCTAGGAATTTTTTTTTTTGAGATTCGAAATTGCAAAAAAATAGCAATTGTACTGGAAATATTTAATTTGACACTATTGAAGTGATTCTTGAGTAAATATCGTTTGAAAGTCACTCTTGCACAAGTTGCATGTGTGTAAGAACTGTGAATTTTGCAAGTACAAAAGGATATAACCAAGGGAAATTCTCCGTACGAGAAGATATTCATTTTCATTGTCTGATTTCTGATTTACTCATCCTGCTGATTTTTAAATCATCATCATCAGTAATTTAACAAATATTTAAAGAACTAGTCACCCGTTTTTTCTGCAAGCCAAATCAGGTTTACCAGTAATAAAAAAATGATTTAACTAATAGCGTGACCTGAGAAAAGATAATCCCGCATTTCCATAATTGCAAACAACACGCAGGCGTCGGTGAGTAACTCGAAAGCTCTCGATCTTATCCTAAAAATTAATCCGGTGAAACCGTACTTTGATTATCAATCCTGTACTAGGATTTTGTTTTGACTATTCAACGATTGACGCACGCTACAGAATTCAACGACATTCCTTAGACTTGCATCAATTTTATTCCTATTTTTGAAATTAAATCCTTTTTATTCAGGAGGATTTCTTGTTGCTTGGACACCATATGCAATACTTATTCTTATACAAGTATTTATTAACATAGCTCATATTCCACCTATCATGATTACAATCCCGGCTTTAATTGCTAAAACAAGTTTCATGTATGTGAATAAAACTAGTCAGTTATTTTGATGAAAAACAAACCTTTCTTTCATAATTTAGATGGAATCCATTGATATTGACAGTGCGCAATGAAGATTTTCGTCGACATCTACCAAAGCTTACCTATTATAATCAGCGTTCAGACTCAAGTAAATAATTTTATTTTATATCAACATTATAAATTATTGTATTTCCCTGCAGACAGAGACACACGTGTAATGCAAGCTTATGTTTATCAAGAATCAACGATTCAATAGCGGTTTTTTTCGTTTTGCTAATTTTTATCGACTGTTCGTAAATATTCCATTGTTTTATGAAAAAAAAAGGAACATTTTAGGATTAGAATAATTGAACAAACTCGTTGAATCCAATTTTACCATCACCACTTGTGTCCAATCCTTTAACCATGACATCAATTTGTTCTTTAGTGAAATGTCGACCCATTTTCTGCATGATATTTTCCAGTTCTGAAGATTGTATATAACCTGAGCCGTCTGCATCAAATTGACGGAAAGCAGCACGTAATTCATCTTCAGAGTATTTTTTAAAATATGTTGCTGCCATGACTCGACTGAATTCCTCGAATTCAATTTGATCTAATTGAAAATAAAAATTTTGTTTCGCCAAAGAAAAAAGCTGTTTATCATACGTACCACTTCCATCGGTATCCATTTCATTCATCAAATGCTTTAATCCATGATCGTTGACTTTGATATTTAATGCTTTAAATATATTTCCTAATTCTCGAGCAGATATTTTACCAGAGCCATCTATTTACAAACAGAAAAAATGAATGAACACTATTTAAAAATAATTTATCACACCTGAATCAAATACATCAAACGCGTCTTTTAATTCTTGACGTTGTGCATTCGTCAGTGTATTCGTCATCAGTATGTTTCTTGTTATATGAGACAGAAGAAATAAACTTAAATATAAAACTAAAAAAAAAGAATAGAATCAATATAATATAAATTTACTCGGTAAGAAAGAAAAAAAAACGAGAGTTGTTCGCTATGGGACATGTAGCAATCCCGTTGACAAAAGCGTCGTACTTCGAAAAGAAAATTATCAAATTCATAGCAACGCTGTAAAAAAAACGTCTAAAATAGGAAGAAAAGAAAAAGAGTTTTTCTCTTTCTTTGTTTTTTAGGGCACAATATCAGCTTTATATTTTGACGTTTTTTAGAAGAAGAAAAAAAAGAGTTTTGAGGAGAATAGAAAATATGAATAAATGCAACTCATTATGTGTAAAAAGTAACAATAATACTTCGTCGATTTTTCTTTAACATTTGAAAAAAAGTGTAGTGTTATTGATCTATGTAAAGAGAATTATTCGAGCCTTAAATCTTCAAAATACTGCAATTCGGGGATAAAGATCAACTAGAGTATTATGATGGGAAAAGTTGATCTTGTTGGAGCGAAAGATTTTTATAAAGAATTTAATCCGAAAGATAAAATAAAAGCTGCTTCTCTGATTAATGGTTATGAAAATTTTCATCTAAATGATTTTGACTCTTGGCTTGTAGAGAAATATTACGGCATGCTGCATATTAGAAATTTATAGCTATCAGCCAAACAAAAGAGGAGTATATAGCAAATTTTCCAAGCGCTATAGAAAGAAGTTGATATAAAATCTATGTATAAGAATTTTCTAATCAAATCATTTTTCGATATTTTCAAATTTTGGTAATCTGAAACCTGAATTCGTTACAGTTCACATCAGGATAGAATTCTTGTAGAAAATAAAGTTTTTGTTCCATTAATGTGTATATGGCTTGATTGAAAATAAAATAGTTGTTGATATCAGAAAGAAAAAGAAACGTCCTACGTGCCACTTGCGAAATGAATTCATTTGAAAGGTTAAAAACAACAGTCTAAATTACGGGTATATAATGATATTGTTGTTGCCGAGAAGGGGAAAATTGTTTCCTTCGCTCATATTATGAAATTGTACAAATACAGAAAAAACGGCTTTTAAAACAATATTCAATGACACCAATTCAAGGGATTAAACGGCTATTTTAAAAATAAACTGATTCCAGACAATTCCTATTATGATTCACGCTAGATTACATTTTTGTATTCTCTAAATAAGCTATAGAAGCAATCATTCATAGTGTAGAACAAAATGATACGATTAAGCGAAAGCACAAGGTGAAATGAAACGCTCGAATAATGAAGTTAAGACATATTTTTCTACAAAGACAAAACAGATCTTATTCAGATCGATTGAAGATTTTGTTGAAAAAGAAAATTTTCTTCTTCCATCAGTTGAAATGAAATGTCTAGTTTACATTTGTTAACAATTGATTTCCTCTTGAACAACTCATACAATCTAACTGGCAAACAACCGGACGTTTGATAGCCATCATTTGACTCATCTGATGATGTGCGTGTGTCGTTGTTTCCGCTCTTCATCTTCAATCGATTCGATCTCTGCACACAAATTAAAATCATTTGATTTCTCAAAACAACAATCTGTCCGCCCAGTTCCGTTGTGATGAACACTTCTTTTCTCTCTGTCTCTCGCCGTCATTGTCGGTCAATGTCAGGACACAGAGCTCATTAAACGACGAAAGAAAATACGAAATGGAACGAGACAAGTGGAAAAATACATCAATGATTGCTTTAGGCACGTCTGTCTACATATTTCCTGTATTGACTTAAGTTTTGGAATAAAAACAAAAGTACAAAGAGAATCTCCTTTTTTTTTGTGTTCCTCCTTGGTCAGTGAAACACGCTTTCGAAAAATGAACAGATGTCTATCAATACTTTTTTTCTTCTTCGTGTACACATGCAAGGCTCTATCTTCTTATCACACACATATCAATCGACCATTACTGCGAAAAAAAAATCAAGGCCACAGAATGAAAGGCATTCTTTCAAGCATGACACGATCGATCAATCAATCAATACATATATATATATATAGGCGAGCGTGTGTAGAACGAAGACAATCGAATCATTTGATGAACCATTTTCTATCACATTTGAGCCTATGTATTAAAATGATGTTTTTTTTTTTTGTTCTTTTCGCGATAAGAAAGAAAGCGCGCAGAAAAAGAAACAGAAGAGATTGGAAACGATTTTCTTCTTCTTCTTCTTCTGATAATAACAGTTGGAGTTCAATTGAATTATCATTCTCTTTTTCTCTTGCGGTTCATACATTGGTGACAAACTAAATTCATCAGACAGATGCTCTCGAACATATAAAAGAGGCAATTTTCTTTTTTAATCATCTTGCATTCGATTTTTTTGTCAGAACGGTTAGTGCTTGAATATGTAGCATCGTTTAACGTATGTGAGCATTTGTTCTAGATTGTATGGATCATATAGACGGTTTTCAAACGACGGATTCTTTTCGGTTTGATCGTAATACATCATCATCATCTACGTCGTTATCTACATCATCCGGTTATGGTTCCCGATTAAGTTTATCTCAAACAGATCATTCATTGTCATCATCAGTTGCACGTCGAAATGGTATAGCAAAATATTTTAAAGAGAAATTATCGAAACATAAAAGTTTAGCGTCATTGTTATTATCACCAAAAACAGACATGGATATTCCAAAGGAAACCGAAATCTATGAAAGTGTATGGAATTTAGATGAACAAATCGATAAAATACGTTCGAAAATTAATAAACAAATTCATTCCGATTCTCAATCGATTATTTCAATGTCAGTTGATGATCCGGAACAAATAAATAGACAAACTCATGTCAATAATGATGAAGAATTATTGGCAGCTGCTGCGTGGTATCAAGAAGGCTTACCGAGAAATATTTGTGAAGAATATTTAAATGATCATATGAAGCCAATAGGCACATTTATTATTCGACGTAGTTATACATTTCGTGAATATCCTTTTGTTTTGTCAGTTAAAACGAAATTATCATCTGTTGAACATTATCTTATTGAACGAACTATGGATAATCACGGCTACCGTTTAAAGGTTTGTTTTCAAACAAAGAAATTCTCGCTTCTTTGATGTACGTCTTTTTTCCTCTCTCTCTCTCGATTTAGAGCTCTTCAAAAACATTTGGCAATTTAAGTACACTTGTTCTTCATCATACAATTATGCCAGATATTCTTCCGATCACACTTGTATTGCCATTGATTCATTCAACATTGACACGTTCGAATCATACTAATCGACCACGACCATTATCACATGTTATTCGTTCTGTACGATTCTAGTCTTATGTTTTTTTTGTCTACAGTGTGTTTATTTATATATATATAAAAATACATATCTTGATTGAAGTCAAACACAATGAAAATTTTTGACGAACTCCTAATCTAATTAATATTGTTATGATGAAATGTTGTATAAAATAATATGCGGAGATCTCATTCTAGCCGTCTGTAATAAGTTAGACTGAAAAATGAGCGAATAGACTGGATCACATTTTGTTTTGACTCCGGTAATACGAGCTGTTCTATTGTCTGTGCCTATTTATAGGAAAATCTTGTGAAAGATTTTTTCATCTTATGACATTTAAAATGCTTCTGCAATATTTTTATATTTCTTTACTACAATAGTGATTTAGATCTACTTCGTTGTACTCCGGAGCACAGTAGTTTCGCTTTCTTCTTCTGGAAAGGGTCACATTTTTATAATTACTTTCAGAGAAAGTAATTAATACTAATGAGTGATTTGAATCTACGGAGATAAAATCATTAAGAATTCGCTCTTAATCGCGAAAGCATCAGACTATTTTATATGAAGCATCATAAAAAAAATATATATATATTTCATCCAATTGTTGAGTATCTATGAGTTGATTTATTTAACCGCTTTGGATCATTATTACCTTTCTGACATGACAGCGAGAGCGTTCATTATATTTTCGGTTAGCTGTTTATTGATCATTGTTTAATATATCAAAGGTAGCAAGTACATACCAATGAGAGCTGTCTACAAAATAAAAATCAAGAATACACGAAATAATACATGTCAGCAAACAATGAATTCAGCCTATTGAAAGACCTTCAATCACAGTTGTCTTTCAATTCCGCCACTAAAAAAAATCTAAAAATTGAATATTTTCTCATAGAATTGAAATACAAAAATTGAAAAAGTTGCATAAAAACATGAAGAGTTTAAAAGTAAAAAATCACTTTAGTTCTGTAAAAAGAAACTGTAGCCATGAAACATTATAAAAGATCTTAACTCCACTTCGAACCGGTCACATTGCCCTTGAAAACCTATGCTAAAATAGTTTGAAATAGGATTTGTAATTTTATATTTACTTATAAAGAATAGTGTTGATGGCAAAAAGCGATTTTTCTGAATTTCTCGAATTATCGAAAATCTTAACGAGGGCAAAATTCACTATATACGAAGAAAAGAACGGTAAGAAGTATCAAGGAAACATATTTATGTAATATAATCATAATCGATTATCAATAATTCATAAATGTTTATACATTCCTGTATCGTTATTATCGATCCTTCCACTCATTGCTTATGTCTAGACATGTTAAACAAACATTTTCATTGTATAATGATCATAAACTTGATATTAATACAGCAGGATCCGGATCTATTAATTATGAAATTATCAATCATACCTACTATATGTATACATTTCTTCATAGAATTGTCCAAAATGTGTTACCTATTCAATACGAAAGGCTTTCTGTATAATAATTCTAACCGTGAATTTCAAAAGAAACCAAACGAAGTAATATTTATATATTTGATTATTTAATAAATGAAACACGTTTACATACGTATATATGCGCTACTCACTCAATATAAAACGATTTCTTCTTTCGATTAATAGAAGTCAATCGAATAATTCAGTATTATTCCCAAGAACTATCAGATTCCAAGTTCGACGATTAGAAAAAAGAAACACACACACACACACAAATAAATATTAATTTTATACCTTTGAACTTATGTCCTTAATCATATGATTTTGAAAAATTTGATACTCATATCAATAACCCATCCGATGAATAAATGAAACTTGGTGGAAAAAAATATAGATTCAATTCGATATTTAAACTCTTGCCCTTAAACTGTGCATATATTTTCATCATAATGATCCTTTTTTCTTGCGTGCTCAAATCATACATATTGCACGGTAACCTTCAATCATTTGACCTTCCTCGTTTTTTTTTCTTTTTTTTCTCCTTGTCTCACACTTCTATATTTCTTGTACACTCTCGCATAATGAGCTTGATGTAAGTTTTTCTTCATTTCATCGCATTACTACGCTTTCAGACACCATCGAATTTCCAGAGTACAATGCCTACAAATTGGTCCATGTCTGAAGATGACCTGTACGGACCACCGCCAGCTTACTCACTAAATCCACCACCGTTTGTTTATATCATTCCCGGGACGCCACACGAATATCATGAGACCCACACATCTCATGTATCTATTGTTTTATCGCCGAATTTTTTACGTTATTTACTTGCCACCGGTCTTATTCATTTATGTATTGGTTTAGCAGCGATTGTTTGTGATATTCTTTTAATTAGTATGAATGAATCATATTCGTTTACTGGTTTTTGGGCTGGTGTTTTATGTCTTGCATTAGGTATTTATCTTATTCTATTTATGAGTAAACCGAAAAAACAAACATGTTCTTTACAACGATTTAAAATTATTCATATTGTGGCATGTATTATCATCATGGCTACGTTGGTTATCTCAGCACTTAATCTCGCCTCAGATTTTTGTTATGATACCTATTTTGGAACATTTCGATGTGAACAATCGGCTAAGCAGTTAAAAATTATTCTAGTGACATTCTTTTCTTTTACATTTGTACAGATCTGTACCACTTCTTTCGTAGCATCCTTTTACGCGAGATAGTAGTATAATATTGTCTAGTAGTGACAAGTTGCGATACAACAGCAAATAAAAATCATTGGCTGAATAACCATTCGTTTTCCTTTCTTTCTTTCTTGTTCTCTTGTCAATCATATGACAGCGTTTATTTTTATTTTTCTCACGATAAAAAAAGAAGGGAGAATATATCTCCTTTATGCATGTGACTTATGAAAACTATTATTTTTTTGTACAGTATTTCGAATTTAAAACAAATATATTATGGCGGATATAGGTGCTTATACTATAGGAACTATCTTAAGTCTCCAAACATTGTGTACTTGTGTTATTTCAACTATTGGACAATATTTTTATATTTATTATCTCGGAATCTATACACCACCATCGAATAGTACCTACAATTGGTCGACAATCAGTCCAAGTTCTTCGTCGAATTTTCTAAAAAAATTCAACGAAGAAACTAAACAATGTATTGATAGTGACGTTTCGTTCGATAATGATGCACAAGTATGGGCTCAAGAAAAATCTGCTGATTTATTTTTCTGGACAAGCCTAGTCAATAGTTGTCCGTTGATCATTATGACTTATATACTTGGTTTATATACACCAAAATTAGGTAAACGTTTTGTTCTTCTTTTGCCAATGATTGGCATATTGGCTCAATTTACTATTTGGTTAGCTATTATTTATTTTCATTTACCTGATTATTGGTGGTATATAGCTGCAGGCATTGTAGGTGCCTCAGGTTCTACGGGTATTCTAAGTAGGAACAAACGATTAAAAAGTTATTTTTCAATGTCTAAACTCATTTGTGTATTAAGGCTTTGTATTAACATTAATCATTACAGATAATACACACGAAAACGATTTATCATCACGTTGTGTGTATCTTGGTGCATTACAAACAGGCGTATCAGCTATTGGAATATTTGCTATTGGTTATTATATAGATTGGCGTGGGTTTACTGATCTATGTTGGATTGGTTTGGGACTAGAAGTTCTATCAATTTTCGTTGTTCTTTTTGCCTTTAAAAAATCAAATTCGAATCTGAATGAACGCACACCTTTATTAAATTCTCCAAATGAAAATGATTTCAAAGAATTATCACCGAATACCTGTAGTCATTTTTTTCAAGCCTGTACAGTATTTCACTTTAGCCGTCGAGATTCAAAGAAATCTACGAGTCTTCTATTAACATTAATATCGAATATGTTTTATACGTTGGCATCAACAACATTTGCACCCTTTGTATGGTTTCTACTCAATGCGCCCTTTTGTTGGTCATCACAAAATATTGGAAATTACTCAGCATTTGCAGCTATTTCTTATGCTATATTAAGTGTACTTGGTATGCAAGCATTGACACAGGCTGGTGCAAGTGATGCTGTTATTTGTTTAATAAGTCATATGTTCTTTTTGGCATCAAATCTATGGTTAGCATTTGCAAGTAGTGCTTGGGAATTATATGCTGGCTTATTAGTGAGCGCATTTTCAGGCTATCAAGGTTCATTAACAATGTCAATGATGGCAAAATGGTTAGCACCACATGAGCGTCCGCACGCATTTACCTTGGTTACAGAAATCAATACAATTATGACAACATTCGGAACGACATTTTTCACTTGGATTTATGCACGTACAGTGGCGAATTATCGAAATTTAACATTCTTGATTGGCGCTGGACTTTGTATTATTCCTACTATTTTAAACTTGTGAGTATTATGATTGATATACTTGTTTTTGCAAAACACGATAAGAAATCACGATCCTACACTGACTAATTCATGTGTTTTTTGTACTACGAATAATGTTTTTGTTCTCTTTATCTAGATGTCTGGCGCTGTTAACGCGAAAAATGTCCGATGAAGAATTGCCACCATTGTCTGAAAACGAAGTAGAACCAGCACCACTACGTTTACCAAATAATGGACCACCGCATGCTGGTGATGCGACTTGTATTGTTATTCCATCTCGATCTTTGACTTCTTCGATGCGTACGCCAGTTTTGGATAGATCTCGACATAATTCGATTGATGAAAATGAACCGGAAGAAGTGATAAATTCTTCTACCGATGATCTAATTACTTTTTGATCTCATTGTGAATATCATTGTGTTTTATATTATATTTTTGTAAATAGATATTGAGAAGTTAGGAGGAGGAGGAGGAGGAGGAACACTTTTGTGTTTTGTATTGAAGTGGAAAATAAAATGATAAAAAATAGATAAGAAATAAATCATGAAATTTCTGATGATTCTATTTCGAAATCAAGTTGTTTTTGTTTACCATCAAAAACTATATCAGATATATCCATCATCTCGATAGATATCTTTTCTTCTGATTGAAAATTAGCCGTTAAATTGCGATCGGGGGCGAATGATGGAGCTGTGTACTGTAACTGAAGGACACTGGGATTAAATTAAAGACACCACTGGCAAACTATTAAATTTAAAACATATATCTGTCCATAGTCACACTGCATCGAGACGATCGACTTTTCAGTGAATTTCTTCACTTTGAGACTCCACGATTCCAACAAAATCATATGTTCAAATTTCGTCTCTTGGAGAAAAATCGTCCAAAAGTTCCGAGACAAACTAATTTTATTACAGCTTTTAAACCGAATATATGATTATGGCACATGACTTTTTTAATAAACAGAATACTATTATCGAAAAATTCGGCAATTGAAGATAGTCTTGCATGAGTATTTAAAAGTTTATTTAATGTGTAAAATTTAAAAAAAAAGTGTTACAAAATAAAAAAATATTTCTTATACAGGCACTTTTTGTTGTTGTTGTTGTTGTAATTCTTCCCTGTGTACTTTGAGCATAGCTTCTTCATGTATAGCATTGAAATCGACTTTTTCAACAAGAAATTTTGTTATACGATCGACAGATAGTTGAATTGTTTCTTGAACTTGGAATAATTGCAAACCATTTTGATGACTCTCTCGATTTAGATTATCTAATTGTTGTTCAACATATTCATCTATAATATACAAAATTGAAAAAATTCTATTTCAATAGATAGCAATTGATACATACTCTTAATTCCAAAATAAAGACTCAACGCAGAATGAAGTCGTTCTTGTAATTCAATTAATTGTCTTGTATCTTTGACTCGAGCTACAGCATCAAGTCGTTGTTCTAATTTGCCCATTAAGCACGTTTTCATTCCATAATAAGCATACAATGTTTTTCGATAAGAACTCGCTAGTTCTTGGTTATGCAGAAGAGCTTTTTGAATAGCTACCTAAATTTAAAAAATTACGATTTGTTCTATTTTTCACCTGTTAAAATGTACTTTTTTATCAGATAAATAATTTGAACGTTCTTTATACAAGTCTTTATTTAATGAATCAGCACTTGACTGTCGTTGTAAACATTCTTGTAAAACCTTTACAACTTCTTGTTCACCAACTTCGACGAGACCGAAATTATAATTTTCATGAGCCAAGTCTGCTCTACAATAATAAGCAAAACAAACATTATTTTGAAAATCGGTACGATTTGTTTGTTTTACATACTCAGCTGTTTGAATTTCACCACGAATTTTAGTTGTTAATGTTTCCATCATAGCACGAGATTCATCCATTTCAATTAAATGCTTTCTCATATATGCTGTTTGAGTTAGGATATCATTAAGTGTGGTGTCAAGTTCATTTACGGTTGTCTATTCAGAAAAGAATTCTTATAGTGAATTTGTTTTTTCAGTAGAACAGTAAATTTGAGATTCGGCAATCATCGTTGAATTTTTAAAAATCAGGATAATTCAAATTTGAAAAAAATGTATACTACAAGAATGGTAGTACCGACCGACGCTTACATTTCACAGTCGCGATCTTGTAGGCAGAAATTCGAAGCTGTCTATTCGTATGAAATCATTCGTTTTTGTTGTTCAATTTATCTGAAATTAGTAACTACGTTTTTCTTATTTATTCAAGCGTGAATATAATAGAACTTTCATCGCTGCCTTGAACGTACTAAGCTACTGCAAAATAGATCCAATAAAACATCTACTTTATTTTCAAAAACTCATATTAGAGTTTAAGCTAGTCGATTATGTCTATATTGAGAGGGGAGCCGTAAAAATCTCACTTTTAAATCTACAGGCGCTATTTTCTTCAAAAATTGATGTGACTTCTACAGAAAAGTTTGAGAGTAGAGGAGAAAATCAGGCTTTCCATCATCAATAACATGCTAGTGCATGGCATTTTACTTGAGATTTATAACAATTTAGAATGTTTGCATAGGAAAAAATAGCTGATTTCAATCATCTTACTGATGCTGTTTCATGTCGATCAGTGATACTAATTTTCGCATTTGACAGTTGATCTTTTTCTCTGACATAAGTTTCATTGATTTCCAATAAATTATGTTTAATTGATCCTAAACTTTCTTTTGTTTGAACATCAGTTGTTTCCAAAGTTGTAACATTGACTGTTAATGTATCGAATTTCGATTGTAAATCAGTAGCTACACGTTCAGCCTAAAAATGATTTTCAATGAATAATATTCTTTTCTCTTATTTTGCTTCATTCAACGAACTTCTTCAGCTCGAATTGTTTCGGTTTGATTCAAAAAATCAAGTTCACGGTTGTCAGTATCTAAGTGTTTATCTAGCATCGCAATAATATTCGATTCTTCGTGAATCTGTCGTCGTACTGCCTCCATTGTTGTCTTCATAGAAAAATATTGAATTAGATAGTTTAGCAAAAAGAAAAAAAGTTACTCTCATTCCATCTTCTTCTTTTTGAAGTTTTTCTGTTTCACGTTTCATATCTGTACTAATCGAATCATTTGTATAAAATGCTCGTTGTAAATTTTCCGTCACTGTTCGTAACATTTCGGCGTCGCGACCACGCTGTTGATCAAATCGTGTTAATGATTTCTTATCACGATCGATTTGTCTGAAAGGAATTCGTGTTTTAGAATTTTCTCGAAAAGCCAAAACAAAAAAATCATACATCTCAATTTTCTCCAATTTTCTTTCGTCTTCATCGATAACTGTTGCTTTTTCACGTTCTTTCTTTAGAATTTTATCTAGTTTTTCTTCGCGTTTCGTCGCAGTTGCTTGTAATGCATCTAATTCTTGTTTTCGATGGTCTTCACGAAGTTTTTCTTCTAATCTGGCCTGATCAAATTCAGTATTTAATCGTTCGATATCATGTTGAAGACGTTCACGTTCATTTCCAATTGTTGCTAACTTTAAGCACAAACAAAAAGAAAAATACTGTGAGAAAAAGACCAAAGAAAAGAAAGTTACTTTAAGTTTGCTACTTGCTATATCGGCACGTGCAACATCTCGTTTTTTTACTTCTTCTTCATAAGTTCGATCATTCTTTTTAACTGTTGATTTTGCATCACGTATTGCTTTTTCATAAGCTTTATGTTGATCGATCGATGCTTGTAATTTACCTCTGAAAAATAGAATTAGGATGGTAAATAAAAAGAAAAGAATTTCATTCAACGAACGCTATTCGCTGAAGAGATTTTAATGCTTTATCGATTTCACCACGAATTTCATCACGTTCAGTTCCAGCACGTTGATTAGCTTTGGTACATTTATCTAATGTATCAGTATTTTTCGCTCGACTTAACATTAATTCGTGTTCAGTTTCTTTTAAAGCTTCATCAACTCGTGTTATTTCAGTTAATTCTGTTTGTACTTTTTCGGTTATTAATGGAATGGTTTGACGAATATCATTAACTTCAATTTCAAGTTGCCGATGCCATGTTCTAGATAGATCGATTTTTGACAGTACTTTTTCAGCTAATCGAGCATTGTAAGCGATATGCCATTGAAGTTCAGTGATGTCCGTTATACAAGCATCGTGTTCTAAAAAGAAGAAACAAAATAACAATTTTCTAGAAGCGGGGGGCGGGGGGAGGAATATATTCATCAGGATCGGACCAACTCTACGAGAGGCAGATGAGTTTCTTCATTAGATTTTATGTAGTTTATGATGGCAGATATCGTCTAACTAACCTGCGGGCCAACATTACAGATAAAAAAAGAATCCAGTAAGAAAGTACAAGTGAAATAATTGCAAATATTCTATGACTCTCTCGTCATAATGAGACCCGAAGGTACGGACGTTCTTCGAATGAGTTAATCCTATATCTACACATTTGACTCCTGAACTGAACAAAAATAACATCAAACTATAGTAAAAGAAGAATCATTCAATTAAGAAAACATGCCCAAACCTTTTTGTACAGCTAACGGTAAATCTACCAATCGTTTTAATCGCCAGTGATCAATATTTTCTTTCAATCTATCTCGTACTCTGTTTTCATTCTCACATAAATTAATTAAACGTAAACGCTCTCGATCGAGCCGAGCCAAAAGTAATAATACTTCTTCCAGTATTTCATCTTCGAGCAGATCATGATGCGGATGTTGATCAATAAGTTGACCACCTCGACCAACTACTTCAAGTGGATTCGTTAATGGCAATGTTTTACTAAAAGATATTTGTCGCTTGGTTCTTCCTGCTTCTACGATTTAACAACAAATAAAATTATATTTCTATGAATTAAACTACTTCGATACATACTTGTTTCTTCTTCTCTAAAATGACAAATAAATATTATATATATATATATATTTTTTTTTTTATCTCTATAAATCGTCATAAAAATTGAAATGATTACTTTCGTTCAATAGCATTTTGAACTAGTTCAAGATGATTAATAGCTTTTGTGACGCACGTTGAAAATATTCGACTGAGAAGACAACTTTTCTTTCGATGAAAATCGAATTCAGGCCAATTATCTGGTAATTCGAAGTCATCATCATCGATAGCGCCTAAACATCAATAGCTTGAGTGATTTATAATAATAAAAAGTTGTTTTATAATTAAAGCATCAGGCTGATATTGCTTGCAACTCTAACTGACATTAATCAATGGAATTTTTATGATCTTGAAGCAAGCATGCAGTGGTAAAGAAAGTATTGCTATATTTTGTCTTAGAATCATTTGTAACGGAAAAATTTTGGAATGTTTTTTTTGCCAACTCAGGTGGTTATCCTAGTGACACTTGTCAAACAAAACGATAGAAAAATCATAGGACTAAATAGTTCATTTTATTGAGAATATATATTTTTTCAATTCAATAACCATTCTCTTGTAAGATTTCCATTGTTCAAGAGTCAAATATTAATTTTTGAAGAATATGAAAAGAACGGTTATTTAATTTTCTTTTTCATGTTCATTGTTTGATTTATTCAATCGGAGAAACATAAATCTTTGACAAAGAAAATTCTATTGAATTTGTTTCTTATGAAATTCAATATTAATGAGCTTACGAGTCTGTTCAGTTTGTTTTTGATTCTCAACACCACCTACGCCAGAATCGGATGAAGCTGATGAATATGGATTATTTTCTAGAAATTAATATTTAGATTTAATTTTAATATATAGCTAATTAACACACCCGCATTGATCATGATTGATAATTAGTCTCATAGAAATGAAAAGTTTCATTTATGTCAAACTGCGCTTAACGTTACTTAGCAACAGTAATCATAGATGTCGCTGTAATTGGTTAGTGTTAAATCTTTTTATTTTCTGGGTTAAATAATCAAAACGTTTTGTTTAATCTAAAAACATTAAAATTTGAATCATCCTATCAAATTAATGACACTGAATACAATTTGTTCATTGAAATCCACTCATGAAAACAGTTTAACCGTCATTTGGGTCATTTGGTGTTTCTGTTCTTTACAAAACTAACCATGGCCGTATCGTTTATGTTAAGTATGTTCAGTTTAGCCATGTTTTTTGGCTCATATCTGTCAGGCCTAATTCCACTGGCATTCAATCTCTCCGAAGTAAATCATTTCGATTCTCTACGAATATGAACTAATCAATTAAATTTATTTAGACCAAAATGCGTTACGTCACCGTACTTGGCGCGGGTCTTTTAGTTGGCACAGCACTTGCTGTGATAATTCCAGAAGGTGTTCATGCTTTATATATAAATGAATTAGGTATGAATAAAAGAATATTATCAAATTGATCTCAATCTATCGTAGAAAGTGCGCATGGTAAGATAGAATCTGATCATAAAATAATTCGTCGAGATCTGAGTCAAGTGAATATTGGCGATAAATCAGATAAAACTAAGAATTTAAATGTTGCTGTTGAACATAAAGAAGATTTATCAAAATCATCAAGTACACATGAACATTCAAATAGTACACATTCAGCAATTGGTATTTGAATATTTACATATCAAATATTTGATTTATGTCAATTTTTTTTAAAACTTAGGCATAACTTTAGTCCTTGGCTTTGTATTTATGCTAATGGTTGATAATTTTAGTGCGAGGCTTTTTCATCAACATTCAAGTCAAGGTGAAAATTTAATTGATTAAAAACAAATCATTAGTTAAACTGTTTTTTCATTTGATTAGTTATTGATTCATCTGGCTCAGTAATTATAACAAAACCAAAAACAACATGGACAGCTACATTAGGTCTTGTTGTACATGCTGCAGCTGATGGCATAGCTTTAGGTAAATAAAAAAAACAGCAACTATCGAGATGTTAACAAATCTGTATCCACACGAAAATAGATGTAATTTCGATCTCGGCCAAAGAGAAAATGTTGCGAAATGAATTGGAACTTTAACCGTTTTATCTTCAACTAGAAAACTAATTCTATTAGTTCAAATGAGTTCCTATTACTAAAGGCAAAGGTCAGATTCCTATTGAGAGAAAATGCTTCCGATGAGTCTTGACTTCCAAAAACAAAATGTCAAGGGCTCTTCGTCGGCTTTCATTAGTAAACAGCTATGATAATAATAAACATAAAAGGTGGTTTCCGTTTTAAACTTTGATTTCTTGCGTAGTGAGAAGTTTTATTTGTTGAAACTTTCTCCTCTTTTGCTTAACTGGCCGGTTGTGATGAAAACCTAATTCCCATTTTCTTTCTTTCTTTAGGCGCAGCATCAGCAACAAGTCGATTTGATGTCGAATTAATTGTATTTTTGGCTATAATCCTTCACAAAGTAATGTTTATATGATATTGAAAAGCCTAACTTTTTCAAAACTCTTTTCATAGGCTCCAGCTGCTTTTGGTCTTGTTTCATTTTTAATATCTGATGGTGTCGATCGTAAACGTATACGACGTCATTTATTAATCTTTTCATTAGCTGCTCCTCTAATGGCAATATTTACATTTGTTTTATTAAAAAGTGTATGTTTAATATTCAGAAATTTTTTAAGCTAAATAATTTGTTTTCCTTGTAGGGAATTCGTGATGCATATTCTGTTGATTCAACAGGTATAGCAATGTTGTTTAGTGCAGGTACATTTCTTTTCGTTGCTACTGTGCATGTTTTGCCTGAAGTTCAATCTCATTATGATGATAAACAATTCAGTCCTATGGAACTTCTTATTCTTATAATTGGCTGTTGCTTTCCTATCGTTCTTTCAATGGGACATAAACATTGATATTGCTTTTTCTTCACTTTTTCTTCTTCATCATAGATATTAATTATCTAAAGTAAAATAAATTTTTATTCGACTATTCTTCTTTTTTTAGATATTGTTATATTATTTTTTTGTTGTTATTTGTATTTGTTCATGGCAGATGATATCTATGTAGTTGAGGAAATTCTTGATAGAAAATTATTAAATAATGGTCAAATAGAGTATCTTTTAAAATGGTTCGGTTATGATGAAGAAGATGCAACGTGGGAACCAGAAGAAAATATTTTTTGTAAAGATTTAATTCGAATATATGAGTCTAATAGAAAATTTAATGAAATTCAAGAAAATATAGTAGGTTCATGAAATTGAATTTGATTTTTGTACATATAATATCAATGTATGTATTTAGAATGAAGAATGTCGAAAAATTCTCAGCGAAATTTGTGACCATATTGATGAAACAAGTAATTTTAGAGATAATATATTTAGTGTTAAGCAGAACTTTCTATGTAATAATAAAACGCTATAATAATCCTTTCATTTTTTTTTCTTCGTCTCGAATTATGATAATGAAAAAGATCCTACGATTATTATCCTCACTTCAATCCAGTGTTTAGCTTTCTTCGACTCCTACACACGTAAACAACTACTTATTGGGTACTCTAAAAGAAAAGTCAATGTAAATTAGAGCTCATCGAATAGAATCCGGACTCGCTTTGATACAGTTCTAGTTCCGAGTCAATAAATTATTTGTTTTTCTTGTCTGGTTATACAAATTTCATAGAAAAACCTCGTTCAATTAAATCGATTTTTCATTACTTTTAGTAAATTCAACACGTCAACTAATCAATGTAATTGAAGAAGAGCAAGAACCCCAATGTATGCCATTGCCTACTGATTTATCTATAAATACTGTAACCGATGATTCTGATATTGTTGATGAAAGTTTAATTGGTGATTCATCATTTTACAATGATTTTCATAGTAAGAAAGAAATAAGGCTAAAATGATTTATTAATTCATTATTTAGATGAAGAAGAAAATGGTATATCAACTGATAATGGTAGATTGCATTGCTTGGTGATTTTAGCTTAATTTGTTTTTGTTTTATTATTAGGAGAATCTCAATCGTTGATTCACAGTCCTGAGGTAAATACAACTAGAATTGAAATTTAATATTTAAAAAATTGTTTCTTAGTCAAAATTTGATTCTAATCATGATCATCAACGAACTAGTACTACATCATTGACCCGTAAAAAAAAATTTCGGTCTACCCATGTAAATGATAATCGAACAAATAATGTCAATCAAAACAATACACAAGACATTGATATAGATAATAGTACACTTGATTACCTTGCACTTCAACCCGAACGTATTGTATCAATAACACGGTCACGTACATCAACCCAAGACCTTGAATTTTTACTGCAATGCACTCTTTATCCAACGAAATTATTTTTTATATCAAATGAAAAAGCAAAAGAACTAATACCTGATTTGTTAATTGAATTTTATGAAAGACATATCAATTGGTTTATCGATCGATCAGTATCAAGACAGACGGTACAAAGACAAAAATATTAAATAGATATTGCGTTTCTGAGAATTTTTTTTTGTTAATTTTGTATATGAAAAACAAACTGAAAGATGTTCTATAGCAGTTGACTTTATTTTCTACAAATAGATTTCTATATATGTTTATGTAGACTTAATTTATTTTCCTTTATTAAAGAAAAGAAATGAGATTATTTCAATGCGTGACTTTCTTTCCAATGCGGACATTTCAACGTTATACAAGTAGTACACGTTTACAAGTATTTCAAAATGCCACGCAAATTGTCGATCCGCAACGTATTCGAAATGTTGGAATTATTGCACATATTGATGCAGGTATTAAGACAATAATAAGTTTTTGAATGCAAAGAAAGAAGAAATCTGATTGTTTTCTTTTTGTCTAGGCAAAACAACAACAGTGGAACGAATGCTATATCATGCTGGATTTATTCGATCTATGGGTAATGTCGATGATGGAAATACAACAATGGATTATATGGAACAAGAACGTGAACGTGGCATAACAATAACATCAGCTGCTATAACAATTCCATGGAATAAACATCGTATCAATCTCATCGATACACCCGGTATGTGTCATGTGGAAAGGTGAGTTAGTGATGTGAAACAGAAAAAGAAAGAAAAAAAAAGATTTTTATTGTTTCCATAGGACATGTGGATTTTACAATCGAAGTAGAACGATCATTGCGAGTTCTTGATGGAGCTGTTGCTATTATCGATGCATCTGCTGGTAAGTTTGGATCATTGTAACGAATATACACATAAAATTAAATGTGAAGTTCAGGTGTTGAAACTCAATCACTAACTGTATGGCGTCAAGCGAATCGATATCATGTACCTCGTTTAATTTATATTAATAAAATGGATAAACCAACAGCCAATTTATCAATGTGTCTTGCTTCAATTCGACAAAAATTTGGAGTTGAACCTATACTTCTGCATTTTCCACTTGGTCATGGAAAACAATTTACTGGCATGATTGATCTATTAAATGAAACACAGATTTCATCGAATGAGCAATTGAAAATTTCATCTGAACTTGTGACTAGTGAACGATTAAAATTAATTGAAAAACTAGCTGATATAGATGATAAAATAGCTGATCTTTTATTATTTAATGACAAACCTATTTCGAGTACTCAATTAATAGAAGCTATTTGTCGTTTGATGATACGTGATCAACGTTATGTTCCTGTGCTGGTTGGAAGTTCAATTAAAAATATCGGCGTTCCAACATTACTTGATGCTATCGTTAATTTTCTTCCACATGCACGAACAATCCCAGGATCATCAATATCAAACATGGGTACTTTTATGTATATATTTAAAACAGTTCATGATCGACAAAAACTACCATTATCATTCGCACGTATATATTCCGGTTCAGTGAAACGACGGATGTCACTATTTAATGCGCGAACGAATGAACGAGAACAAATTAATAAAGTTTTTCTACCGTTTGCTGATAATATGGAAGATATTGATGAAATTCGAGCAGGATCTATTGCTGTTCTTAGTGGACTTAAAGAAGTACGTAGAAATATTTCATACAATGCGTTTACTATTCATATCACTTTTATACTAATTAAAGAGTATTCGTGAATGTGAGTCCCTGCTTTCAGTTACATTGTAAAACTGCATGAGCGGATCAAAGAGTTTTTTCATGTAGATTAACTGGTGAGGTCAATTTGAATATCAGAAGATTCATTGTAATTTTGCTATGTCGAAAATTTAGCAACTAGGGTAACATAGAAATTGAACTATTCAAAATGACAACTTGCAGTAGCTGTAAAACTATTCTGAAGTTGATAGAAAAGAGACATCCATCCTAGGGGTGTAACTTGGTCTCTAAGATACGGATAGGAGGCGTAACGTCTTTGTTGGTATAGTGTCGGCATTAGAATCCACATAAAATACAGTTTTTTTGATTTTAATTATCAGCTTCCAACGTAAATGTGCATTGCCTATTAAATGCTCTATATTTACAACTTCGACTTTTAGTAAACATTTTGTTTTACTTCTATAGGCATCAAGTGGTGATATATTTGTTTCAAATAAAAGACCTGATCTTGATACATTTTTACGTGATCTTAAACAAAAATATATATTCTTACCTGATCCTGGTCTAGAAGCGCCGACACCTGTTTTCTTTTGTACAATTGAAACATATTCTGAAAGTGGACAAAAACAACTTGACTTTGCACTTAAAAATATAAAACGTGAAGATCCATCATTACGCGTTCGTATCGATGATCAAACAGGTCAAACCATACTTTTAGGTATGGGAGAATTACATATTGATATCATACGCGATCGATTAAAACGTGAATATGGACTTGAAACTTATCTTGGCCCATTAAATGTTAATTATCGTGAATCACCAAGAAAAAATGTTCGACAAACTATTGTTTGGAATTCGCACATTAATGAACGACATGCAACAATTTCTATAACTCTTTCTATTGAACCGATTGTAGCAGACGATAAGAAGATTATTTCGTTTTCACAAATTCGAATCATACGAACGGAAGAGCAGAATTTTGAACATTTAAGACAAGATCATATTGGTATGGAACATCGTTTTTAATATTTTTCTTTTTTTCACAGATTTCCTTCTATTCCAGAGTCAATTAATCTTGGTGTTCGTCTTGCTCTATCGACAGGTTTATTTGTTTTCTTTTGTTTGAAAGTTTATTTAAAAATTAAGATTTGCAGGATTAATCAAAGGTGCTGAAGTAGTCAATACTGAAGTAAAATTACATGATGTTCAGTTCTCGGGCTCAATAACACCAGCACTTTACTCAGCAGCAGCGTCTGACTGTGTTCGAGCATGTCTTCGTCTTGCTGATTGTGCTCTTCTTCAACCAATGATGCACGTTGAAGTATGTATCACACAGTTATCTTCATTATTTCATTTTACTTTTTTTTTATTGTTATCTAACAATAACAGGTTGTTTGTGTAGCTGATCGTACACAAGTTGTCTTAGATGATTTAGCTCGAAGACATAGTCAAATAATTGATGTACAACAAGGTATTCGTGATGATTTACAAGAATCAATGAATACTGTAGTAACAAGAACACCATTGGCTGAGTTAATTGGTTATAGTTCAACATTAAGAACAATAACAAGTGGACAAGCAGATTTTACACTTGCTATTGATGGTTATGAGCCAGTCCGCAGTCATTAGAATTGAACTCGTTCATACTTTGTTAGAAATGTTAATTTTGTTTTCTAGGAAAAAAATGATTGCTTTTTTTCTTAATAAATTGATGTTTGTTAAGAAAGACTTTTATACTTTGTGAAAGATAGCTTCACAGGCGTTTTGAAGTCTACGGCTAAACATTTGGAGTTGCAAAAGATCGTACATCAATAGCGTCTCGTTATAATTTAATTGTGAAGGATTTCGTAGACGACCAAAATAGAATAAAAGACTGTCAATCTGATAAGCAACGTTGTCTTTCATATTTTAATCCCATTGCAATTCCCATCGTATGCATACTGAAGTAAAAGAAAAACTAATTTTCACGCATGTTGAATCTGTTCTTTATTTAATAATAGCGACAAATTCAATTTGAATTAATATTCCTTATGAATTTTAAACTATCGTAATAATGTTGGAGATATCCAATAAAGAAAAGCAGCAATTATTCTGTCGATATTTAATTTTGATACCATCGAAGTGATTCTTGAGCAAATATCGTTTGAAGATTTCTCATTTACAAGCTATCAGCCGTGAGCTTTAAAAATATTTTATAATTCCAAATGATATGAGCAAGACAAAATATGGAATTAATATTTTTCTATTTCTGATACCGGGACCGAAAAACAGTTGACTCCCATAGTTCTCTAAACAGCAGCTATTGTGTCTCTATAAGATGTTCATCTAATGGAAATGATCAGCATAGAGATTGGTACACAATGTATTAGATGAGAAATGTTCAGAAATCTTGTCGATCTCTATCTGAAAACTTCATTGCTGATAGCAGTTCTATCCCTCTGAGTCAGCCGATATCGACAATTTATTCCGATCGAGTAAACGTGGTTATCAAGGTCAGAGTAAGTAAATAGCAATGCTTGTTTAAGAGTCTACACATTCATAATACTATATCGTGTGATATAATAATGAAGATCCAGTGTGAACTCAAGAATTTCAAAATAAGTCTGCACACTATCGTTTGCCCATGTAAAATTATGATGTCTTAACTTTTAGTTTAAATAAAAAGAAAATGGATACAACATAACAAGCAATGAAAGAAGAAGAAGAAAGGAAACCTCATGGCTAAATTTGAAAATAGTTTTGTTCGTGTTTTCAAAATATTTTATTTTCTATCAGTTGTTGATGCTGCCTGTTGTTTTTGTCTATCGGCTTCTAATTTACTTTGTTCATCGTCATATTGTTTAATCAATGCTGTTAATTCATCATCTTTTAACATTCGAATTGTTGTTTGATTTGTTTTATCGTCATGTTGTAAAACAGCGATTTCAATTTTTTCAGGTGTTAACTTTGTTGTATCAAGAGTTTTACTAAATACTCGTATAGCTAAACGCAATGCATCATTTAATTTTGTTTCACCTATTTTATATTCTTGTTTAAGAATAGATATAGCTGTTTGCGAATTATGGCCAACACATGTTGCTTTCCAACCACCAAAATTTCCACTTGGATCGGATTGATATAATTGATAACCATAATGTTTATCCCAGCCCATATAAAGGAATGATACGCCAAATGGACGTTTGCCACCATACTGTGTATACGCTTGTTTTATATTACACAAACGTGAGACAATATATTCGATTGGTGCTGGCTCTTGATATGTTAATAAATATCTACATTAAAAAAGAATGATGTTTATTTTCTGCTCAGGAAGAGGATAATGTCTAGTGCAAAAATGTCTGACGGAGACCACAAAAATTGTATCTAATCAGACAGTTAAAATTTGAATAAGTTGTCTACTATACATTTTACAATAGGAGAATAATGAACTTTTGTTACAACCAAAATTTAACTCTCAATCTTTGTTCACTAGCTGAAATGAACGCTTCAACTATGTTAGTTGATACCTACATTTCTCAATCCAAACAGAGAAAGTAAATTCAATTTCGAGAGAGAAATTATCATAAACAAATATATTTCAAATACAAGAAAAAGCTTAATAAGTTCTCTAGCGTATGATACGATATGTTTTCTTTGAAGTAAGGAAATTCTCAACAGATGTTTTTCGTTCTGATGACTTTGTGATCGCTACCAAGTAGTTTCAAAACACTGACGATATATTCCCCAGAAATTTTTGATATATCCATCAATTATATTTCTTCACCAACAAAATTGCGCTTCACAGTTTTAAGTACAACACTTTACCTTTGTCCAATCATACGTAATTCATTAATTAAAACATTAGCATCACTCGTTATTCCAGACACCGAACAACAAAGATCATCATGAATTTTATAAATTTTTTCCGAATATTTAACATCGTCAAGTAATGGACTTATGTTACGTTTTTCACCGGCAAGAACAACACCATCATCAGCCAGAATACCTAACGAAGCTCCAGAATGTGATATAGCTTCTAAAGCATATTCAACTTGATATAAACGACCTTCGGGTGAAAATATTGTTGCACGTGTATCATATCGACGAGCCATGATTAAAATCTACAATTCAATTAATAGACAAAACAACGATTAATTATATTATTGCGTATAAACGAGATTCCAATGAAATATTAAATATACAAATACAAAGAAAAAAAAACATTTGTACAAGAAAATTTCCTTTTTTTTTGCTTCATGGATGAACTTCCAAATGGCGACGTTTTGACTTTTTCGGATTACGTGAACGACTTTTAGCTTTGCATATAGGGCATATTGGTGCATTACGATGAATTTGTTGTTGACATGATTGGCAAGTCTAAAATATAAAAATAAGACCGAATTTATTTTTCTAGGAGTACAATAATAGATGTTTCATATTTTAGATCATGTAAATAGCATAGATACTATTTTTGTAAAAGGCTAGGATCGTTATGAAACAATAGAGTTTCTATACTTCGCCAAAAGCAAATTTTTCACTTTTACCGAAAACTATATTATTGCCAACAGCTTGCGCTAAAGTCTAGCGTAAATTATTTTAATTGATCTATCAAACAGAAAACTCGTCTTCCATAAAAAACAAATTCGACAATATAAAACTAGTGTCACGAAATTAAAATAATTTGAATCAATAAACATACCTTCATTGGTGGTGGTTGTTGTCGAAATGTTGCTCGATCAACATTTGGTCCCATACTACCGATCATTTTTGGAACATTTAATGTCGACGCTTGTTGTTGTTGTTGTTGATTATTTGTCTGTATTGGAATATTAATACTTGTTGTATTACCCATTTGTTGAGTTTGATGATGATGATGATGAAATGATACGCCCAATGGAATTTGTTCGTGAGTATTATCTAATCCTATTGATGATAAATGACTATTTCTATTCGATGATTGATCATGATCACCTGATTGTTGAGAAATTAATCTGAAAAAAAAAAGATTTTTTTCTTTAATGTTACAATGTACACAAAATAATTACTGCATTGTCATTATTGTTGTTTCGTCTTCTTCATGATCAGGAAGTCGCTCAAGATTAAGCATATCTCGTAATTTATTTACTTGTTCTTTTATTGGTTGATAATCTTTTAATAAACGTTTACTATCTTGTAATGTTCTTGTTCGTTCTTCATCAGCTTGCTTTATTGTTGTTTCCATCTATGAATAAAAATACTAGATAGAAAATATTGTTAATTTTTTTTATAAATAAAGTATACAATATTTATATCAGCATGAATCAATCGTAATTCTTCAATATGTGACATACGTTCTTGTACGAGCATATCAAGTTCTTTGCGAAATTCCCGTAAAACTTGATTTTCCCGTGTAACTAATTCAGTATTTTGCTGTAAATGATTTTGAAGACGTTGAAATTGATTTTGTTTTTCTCTATTAAATAAAAAGTTACACATTTTTTTTGAAGTATTAATCATCACAAACCCTAATTCTTTGATGAAATCAAGTTTACGCATGGATGATACTAAATCTTTTTCATCGGCAGATGATGTTGATGTAGGAATTTTTTCACTTATTCCGCCTGTATTTTCCATTTGAGTATTTTTATGAAATTCTTATTTCAAAGAGTACCTGACAGTAGCACAACTTATATCATCTACTGAACGAAACAAACAAAGGTCAAATGAAAAGTGGCCAATCGGGGAAGAGGGCGCCACTATTGAAAGTTTATTTTTCAAACAATTGCTTTTATACATAAATCTTTAAAATTTTCCTATTGATAATCGAATTGTTCGTTAATGAAATAATTACACTTGTAAGAAATCTTTAAGAAAAATATTGTTGTGATGACCCATTCCTTCGGGATGAGTAATTGACTCGATTTTTTTGACAGTCAGCACTTTGATAATCACATGCATTTCGATCGTATCTTCGTTTGTATTTTATATTGAATTGCGATTGCAAAATATCAGTAGGACCGACTGAGTCGGCATGATTGATTTTGCGGATAATTCTGACCCTAGTCAACTCTCCCTAAAGGAATCCCCAGGGAGTCCCTACCCATGTCGCACAAACCAATCGAAAACCGTCGGTTAACCGCGGTTATTTAAGCCATTTTAGGGACTTTACAGCGTAAAAGCCAACGGTTAACCGCGGTTAACCTCCCATTTAACCGGACAAGTCATCGGTTATGTCGCGAGCTGGCGGTTATTTTTCCGGTTAATTGGGAGGTTAACCGTTGGTTTTTACGCTGTAAAGTCGCTAAGATGGCTTAAATAACCGCGGTTAACCGATTTTTATAAAAATTGACCGCGGTTAATCGACGGTTTTCGATCGGTTTGTGCGACATGGGTAGGGATTTCGTTCTTTCGCGGGGACTCCCCGTTGAGTTATCTGGCCACAATGGATGAAATATCTAATTACTAATAAATTCTTCTTAATTTTTTAAAATTTAAAAACATTAAAAAGCTTTTTTTTAATTTTAAAAAATTTCATCAATTCTCCGAAAATAAATCCCCGGGAACTAACGACAGGGACTCCCCAGGGATTTCTTTTTTGCGGGGAGTCGTCGGGGGAGAGTGGATTAGGGAATTTACATTGCAGCGTACTGGTGAAATTATCAATAAGTAGAAGAAAAGGCATTTATGATAAAGTTTTCAAGAACCTAATTTTTAATAGAACTCTCAACATATGTGAGCAAGCTCAACATTGTTTTTTCTTTCAAAAGTTTCCTTAATCAAGTGTGGAGAATTCAGACTATTCTTTTGTCTAGGTTAGTAATCGATCATGGTTAAAGATAAAACTCATGTGTTAATCTTACCCGTACATTCAAATATTAGTATTAGGTCAAGGATTGATACATTTCAAAACTTTCGATTTTCCTAAGATATTCTTATGACGAAATTTCAACATGTTACGTCAACAAAGATAGGAAAAATAGTGCTAAGAATGTATTTCACCCAGGTTAATGAATCCGATACCGAATCCGATTGGATCTTATAAAATCCGACGAGCCGATAAAATCCCATGGGATTCCGGGTTGAGGAACTACTAGCGGATCCATCGCGTTGGAATTCGATAAAAATACCAGGAGTCGGATTCCAACGAGATTCCTAAAGAAATCTATCGGGTTTTGACTGGTTCCTGCAAGAGTCGATCGGATTCCAACACTAGGGATCCATGAGTGGGTCCGCAACCCGGATCTGCTTAGAATCCTGCAGGAAGTGATCGAAATCCGGTTGAATCTAGCTATCGGATTGTTCGTCCTGCGCAGTTTATCACAATATAACAATCTTTATTTATTTTTCTAGAATAGTAGGATATCTTGTTAAAACACAAAATTGTTTTAAAATTAGAAAGATTACGATTAAATCATCCTAGAAATCGATCTCTCGAATAATATTCATTTTTATCGGTTGCAGCAATAATAAGCGAAAGACTATGCATTCATAGATCCAATCGTCTTGATGCGTCCATCGCCACTTTTAGTTGGTGGCTGACAGGGATGCAATTGATCAATTAAATGTTTACCAGAAGATAATTTCACAATAGACATTGCAATAAAATGAGGATTAACAATTTTTCTGTGAAAGAGTACGCTATTTTCGCTCAGTGCCACCAAAAAATTATTTTTAACCATTACAGCATCTTCAAAACGAGCACGTTTTACCAGTATATGGCCGTATCTTTCAGGAAAATGCTTACAAAGATTGACACCAAGGATATCACTATCCTCACGGTCGACTAATGAGCCCGGGCTAAGATCCCAACGTGGACTTGTTAACGCTTTGATTGTAGCCTCGTAAATATTCTCGATAGCGCAAAGACTTCGATTGTTGAGTAGGCGAGAAAGACTATATGCTGCCCGACAGCAAGCACACGAAGACTTCTTTGCAGATGGCACATGACATATTTGGCATTGGCGTGTAACCGAATCAATTTGCCCTGCGCTGCACCAATCTCTAAATATTGAAACAAGGCACAGTAAATCGCTCTCATTGTCCTTAGCACCATCGATAATACGATTTCGAGCGGCATCTTTCTCTTCTGGTAATGCACCAACCATGTCGGATCTAAAACCAGGTGTTACTAAAATAGCAACAACAGTTGCTATTAAATCGAGAATTGGACCATGTTCGAGGTAAGTATCAACTAAGAATGCACTGTAACGAGGATCGAAACTAAGTTCGCTGAAAAGTTGACCTCGTCGAGTGATGGTATGATCTGTGTCAATACAAGAGAGTTGTTCCAAAAGGTCGAATGATGCTTCAAGAATGGTTGCATCAGGAGGATCGATGAATGGAAATTTTCTTGGATTAATTTGCAAACATATGATTTGAAGAGTAACAAGATCAAGTGAAGACCGAAGAATTGCAGGTTCAATGTCTTGACGGATCAAATCATCGAGTCTGTAGAGTCGAACGCAACGGCCTGGAGCTGTGCGACCCGCACGACCTGTTCGTTGATCAGCGGATGATCGGGAAATTTTCATTGTTTCAATAATTGTCAAACGACGTTCGTTATCAAAGCGAGCTTCTTTCACCAGTCCGCAATCAATGACTAGACGAACATTATTTATTGTCACTGATGTTTCTGCAATATTTGTGCAGAAAACAACCATTCGTATTTCATTGTTTGCATCTTCATCAAATTGCAGAACTCGATTTTGTTCTTCTGCTGAGAGGGCAGCATACAAAGGCAAGGCAACACAATCTGCTGGTATCTTACTATTAAAAATTTCAATAGCTCGTTGAATTTCTCGCGATCCAGGAAGAAATACAAGTGTATGTCCTTGACAACGTGCGTATAATGTGAGCAACGTAGAGATGGCATGCTCCTCAATAGAACCCTTCAATTTAGGATTGTAAACGATAGAAACATCATGTAAACGACCTGGTACGTGAAGTATCGAAGAGTCAGCTAGTTTGAAAAAGTCAAGGAACTTGCTAGGATCAACGGTCGCTGAAGATATAACAACATAGAAATCTATTGGTCTTGTAGCTAATAGTAGTTTCGCCATACCGATAACAATATCTGTATATAATGAGCGTTCATGTGCCTCGTCGATGATTAATACTCGAGTATCGCGTAACAAACCGCTCTCTTGATTTTCTTGAATAAGTGCCGCGTCAGTCACAAAGAGAATGTCTCTTCCAGGAACTCGATATTTGTCTTTGCCAACACTTACATGACCAACTCGGTAGCCGACTGATTGACCCACAGATAATCCATCGTATTCTTTGGCTACGCGACGTGCAAGAGACATTGCTGCGATCACGCGTGGCTGAGTACAAACGACTAGTCCACCGAAATATTCAGCAGCATATTGTGGAAGCTGTGTACTTTTACCACTACCAGTCTCCGCTCTAACCACAAGTACTCGTTCTTTCTCTAATCTTTGACAAAATTCTTCTTTTGCGGCAAGAATAGGTAGCCGTGCTTTCTCTCTTTCGATTTGCCGTTGTTCTATTGATTTCAGTGGTTTAGAACTTGATGACTGCATTTCTCCACTGCTGTTTTCTTGCTGCAGCTGCTGCTGCTGTAGAATTCGATTCGCAGGATGCGACATGTGAGAACACATAATATCAACGCAATTGCTACCTGCTTCACATGGATCCCATTCTGGAGGATGTAAATCAGCACAGTAAAAATTACTACATAAAATGCTTTGCTCACAGTATGCCACTCGGCCAGGAGGATGTTTCAGTCGACAATAGAATTCAGCGCACTCAATGCCATTTGAACATACTTGTCGAGTGGGTGGATGGGGACGTGGACAAGCATTGTTAAAACACGATTCGCCAAATGAACAATCTTTCGGTCTTGTATCTGGATGTCGTGCTTGACATTGCCAAATTCTACATTTAGTACCTGCGAGACATTCGCCAAATGTAGACGACGGATGCATAAATCTACATTTGAACCTCTTACAATTATGTCCACGTAAGCAAGGTTTCTGCCGATCATATGGATGAGTTGCTTTGCAATAAAAATCTTTACAATTCGAACCATTGCGACATACCTGCCACTCTGATGGATGATCTAGAGGACAATTTGTATTGAAACATTTTAAACCGTATTCACAAGCAGGCTTCTGATAAGACAAGGAATTGTTTTGAACATGCACTTGAGATCTAAGAGTTGTGTCTGCAGAATCAGATTCTATTGCGTAAATGGTGCTTGAGGAATCAGTTGTAGAAGTAAAAGCATTATCTTGCCCACCGAAGCTGCCAACAGTGGCATCAGATATGTTAACTCTTTCAAAGAGACCGACTAATTGTTCATGATTAGTATCGCTACCATCATTAGCACTTTCATTATTTGTATTCGACAGCATTGAAACTAAAATCATTTCAAAAAAATATCATAAAGCTCTGTTCGGTGTTATTGACTGACGGGATGATTTTTTTATTCAGATCAATAGAATGATCCAAGGAAAAAAAGAAAAGCTATTCTTGGATGGTATATGTAAGTCATTTTTTACTGTAAACTGTTATTTGAAGTAGATTACTTAGTTTGCTATTCGACAATAACTAAAAGCATGTTATGTCAACAACAATAATAGGGTACAGAAATCGTATGCACATTTGATTTTAGAAAGAAATCTCATTCCTATTTACAATGACATCTTTCGTAGGATTTTAATAAATTCTGAAGAAATTAGACTTGTAAGAAGCTTTTACGATCAATCAAAACAAAAACTTTCTCTTTTTTCATCGGATAGAATAATTTATACTATAGCACTGATGCAGAAAAACGACATTGAAATTCTGAACCCTGAAATAACAAGCTTTAAAGTCGGCAATATCTTTACCGTAAAGTATGCTTGCAGCTTTAAATGCAGGGTCTTGTAAACTTTTTCTATCTGAATTTTAGTAGTGCCACCAGGGAAGGACATTTTTTTCAAGTCAGTAAAACATTATCGATCAACAGAAGATAAAATCAGAGTCAGGAACTCGAGAAATTCCGACAGGCTTTCTGTTATCCCCAGAGGTATACAACCACACGTCATCCGAAGAAAGATCTTAAATGTTCCTACCATTTCCAGTGGAAGCATACGGTTATATAAACCGCCGTATTTATGCCGTATCATAAAGGTTTCTTAGATCGACATCTAGATATACTGTCTTGCTGTATAACTATCATGGGATAGTAGCTAAATATACTTTTTCAGAAAGACTACATGAAAATAGTGACAATCTGATGGTGGGGATTCCCTCAGATAAACCTTTGGTTTTCGTTACATAGAAAATTGCGATGTACATATGACGAACTACGGTTGTAAATTATGAGCCTGGCTTATGACTATTTACTACTTGCCAATAGTCCATATCTAACTATCTGTGATTGCAAATGCGCCGTATTCAATCTCCTAGAAGGTATATTGCTTCTACATTCCATCGATTTCCTATCTTTTTCTAGTGGATACATGCTGATTTTTCTTATCTTTTATGATCAGTTTCAGTAATATATGATTTTTCCCGAAATCATCTATTATACAGTAGTTTCTCATATATTTTTCCCAAATTTAATTGAGCAGGTATATTCAATTTTTCGTTAATTGTTCTGATTTAAAAAATATTCCCTTTTTTCCTTTTATCTTTAAGTGTGTTACTTTATTTACTATTATTAAGGAAACCACAAAAATAAGATCCTACAGGCAGAAATATAGCGTGTAGAAAAGTTTTTGCTGCATGCATCAGCGTCATTTTTCATTAGCATCACATATGGAAGTGATGTTGCTGATTCTGTTGTATAAACATAAAGATTCTATTTATAATTATTTCGAAGAAAAAGGTAAAGTAAAACTCTTATTTATCAATAAAAAAACAAAGGGAAAGGAAATCAGTACTTAATTTATTGAACTTTTTAGCAATCTACTGGTGTTTGATAAATTTAGTATTAAAAACCAATCTCTAAACTAGATGAATAGCACTTACTGGTACTTTATGATTGAATTTTAATTAAGTTTGCCTTGATTTTGTGTAAAATAAAACTATCGGTTTCAGAAGGTATTTATAAAGACAGAGCGAGAGAAGAAAATTAGTGACTACAAAAAACCCAGAGAATAGAACATACTCAGGTGATTTTGTTGTTGTTCTGACTCAAAGTTGTTAAAAAAACTGTTCCCAATATGAGTAACCTCGAACAGAACGCTGACAAATAAAAATACAATCTATTGGACATGCTATAAATGTAGTAAGAATTATGGAGGTGACTGTAAAATGAAAATGGGATGAAGCGATAAATGGTGAGAATCATATTCGTACGATCTAATTAAATCAATCGAAAGTATGAAATCGATGCTAGCTGTTGAGCTTGTGTTATGGTATTACGGTAGTTACGGGAACTTTTCTTCTTTCAATTGAACTCAAGTAATAGTATCTAAGCAGCTTCCATGTGATGATATATGATGAGTACAGAGGTAGATGTGTGTTAGGATGTATGCATGTAGCATAGACATTTTCTTGAACTGTCCACATTCTTGTTCCAAATAATCTATAGACAATTGCATATGTTCTATTACAATTACAGATATTTTTTACTGTGCAACATGTAATTCTATTATTTTCGAATGTATTCATCATGAATTCGATTATGACTTTAAACTATAGTCCAAGTATCTATCATGTTTGCTTTATGATAAAATTTTAATTTTCTTTTGAAGATTCAGTAGAAATAGTTATATAAACGATTATTTTCCAGCCAAACGATATCAAATTTCTATTGTAAGTCAGATAAATAGAAGCAGTGTGACACCCACTCTAATTTACATTTTTGTTTTGGTAATTAAAAACTTCCTCAACTGGATGCATTTGATTCTTTCAACAAAAAATATGTGTTGGAACTAATCCTGAAGTAGTATTAGCAGAAGCCAAGTCTTTGTTCGACTACAACTCACAGGTAATTATGAAGAAACCTATATCTTAGAAAATCTTCTTTTAACAACATCATATATCGTATGAATTCCATCTTTCTTTCGACTTTCACCGAAGAAAATATTTCCGACAAAAAAACTGATGTTATTTGAAATTCTAAAACACAATAAGTTTTCTTTATTGAATCATATAATTGCATGTTATTTATTTACATAGAACATTGGATGAAAAGCGGTCTGATAGAACACAAGAGTAAATGTTTTCTTTTCTTTTGAGAAAAAAAAAGAAATTTAACACGAGCTGAGTCTTTTTCGCAAACAATGGATCTCCGTTAAACAAAGGAGATCGTAAAGGAAATTTCAAAAAATGTCTGCGGTTTGATTAGATAACGCTTGCTTGCTAAAACAGTAGATCAACATCAACGCGCAAACTTACACCCTTAAGATAGTTTTTGACAATTTAATTAATGGATATGCATATTCTTTAAATTCAAATGACTTCTATTCTTCTGAAAAGCAACTTATTCCAAAAGTTTAAAAATGTGAAAAGTGTTCACCTACAGTTTTGTTTTTGAATGCAGTCGCCCAGGTCAAATACGTACGGTGGGAAACTGTCTGATCCGATGATTTTCCATCGAATTCCGGAAGTAGTATTCCGAAAAGTTTTCCGGCCTCCGTTTCCAGGGTATTTCCCGCTAACTCCTGGTTCCGGAACCGATAAGCGGATACTGCTTCCGTTTACAACAGGATTCCGCACTACGTTTCCGATAGTTTCCATTTACAGCAGGATTCCGGAGTACGTTTCCGATCGTTTCCTTTTGACGATCGGAAACGAAGGAATATGAATAGTTTCCGATCTAGATACGTAGCTAGGATCTGGCCGTTTTTAAACCGGGTATGGAGTTCGGATTGCGCCATTCCAACAACCGGATCCGGCGAATAAGAACTATTCGATGTTTCCTTTTTCTAATTGAGAAAAATTTATGAATTTCAAGGATAAGTACATATTTCTTATTTGAAGTATGAATCTGTAGAATTTCTGCGTAGAGTTGGATGGAAACTGACTTTCCAAAAAGCATCATAGAAAGTCTAGTAAACAAAATATTTAGATTGAAATCAATAGATGAATGAATTTAACTGAATCTTATTGTCGATTCTGTCACATAGAGTCTTTGCGATATATTGTTAACCTACCTAGTTTTGATTAATATTGCATACCTAATGTATTACCAATTATTTTTGGCATGAACCTCATTAAAATTGGATTATCGACATGGAATATGAATAGGATGATCACAGTTTAATTGGTCATATTTTCTTATGTGTTTACTCTATCTGATACTAAGATGGCTAACATAGGAGTTAAAATTAAATTTTTATTTTCTCACTTTATGTGTGTAGCATTTGAGTATTTTTAAACAATAGCTATCAGCAATTTATAAAACCTAGAGCGAATGACAGCATTTTTTACATCGAAATAATTGTTCATATCTTTGATATTTGTGATCTAAATTGATAACAGTTGATAATAGTTTGAGGTAGGTCATCATCTTATGTAGCTATACGTAGAAGCACAAAACATGCATAGAAATAGATTAGAAAAATACTTCTGATTAGTTATTGTTCAAAAGGAATCTATAATAAGAAGTAAAAAATCTAAAAATGAAATAATTTCGTGCGTCCACATCCTCAAATTGAATAATAACCTATGCAAAAACTTTAGAATAAGCATCAAGTGTAATGAATTATTTTGTGTGTTAATGTTGCAGCTCGTAACCAACCTTTGCTGATCTGAATCGTTTGTAATCAATTTTATATTAATAGACTCCATCGTGATTCAAGTAATCAAAGTTATCGATTGATAGAGTTTGCGTTGTTCGATTATTTTTTAATGAAGTCTTTAAATGCTGCGAACAATTTCATTTGAATATTGCTCGAATACTCAATGAATTTGGTGGGACTTTTGTCTAATATTTTTATCTTTTGAAAGGAGAACAAAGTACCCATTGAAAGAGTGGTCAATTAAGATAGGACGAATTGATAAGATATTCAGATCTTATTAAGATAGACATTTAGTTAATTTGAGATTTAAATTGATTTTAACCTAGCTTTTACAATTAAAAGAACGACTGATGTGGTATAATCTTTAATAGACTTCGAATTCCAAAAAAAAACAGTATTAACAATGTAATCGATTTGTAATTCATTAAAATTAATCGTGATCTTTTCTACTCCTCACTCTACTCAATGCATAATGTCTGTCAGATACATGAATTTCATTTTAATTCGAGAAGAACAAACATATATAGTTCCACTTTCTTTCTAAGATGATCTGACAGCAGATATCAATAAATGATAAACTGTTGTGTCGTTTCCTATGATTCAGCAAAGCATATCAGATGGCATTCCCATAACAGCGATAAGGATAACTACAATCTCTTTTGTCGTATAATTCCAAATCTAGAACTCCGAAA